AAACGCCTCCAACTTCTTGGTCGTGTCAGAATCCAGATCGCCAAAGGCGACAACATCGATTGATACGTTGTTTTTCTTCATCTTCTTGGCCAGCTTGACAAGCGTCTTTTCGTCTTCGGCAATGGGAGCGCATGTAAACACGATGATTCGTTGTCTCTGGGACTTCTCCGAGCGATGCTTCAAAGCCAACTGACCCAAATACTGTCAGCGCAGAGCCTACTTAACTTGAAGACGTGTAAACACTTACACCGGCGACCTGTATGCTCGAGGCAAGATGCGAGGTGCCATGGATCTTCGTTCGGTGCAGCCCCGACAGGATCTTACCAAAGTCCGATGTAAACGTCGAGAGGACCTCAGGTCCGTTTCCACCCATGCTCATTAGACCGACGGCGGACTGGGGGTGCGCTCGCATCTTAGCGCTATGGATAACGCTCACTGCGTCGATCTGCGCTTGCCATCGCGTTGAACTGGGAGAGGTTAACGACGGCTCTTTTCTCCGAACATAGCACACACAACTTACGTATAGTCGCCATTTCTGCTCGGTTCACTGTTGTCCACACTGCAGATGCTGTCAGCTCCTGTTTGTAATCTGATGAGGGTGAGCGAACGGACATGATCATAGTCGCCTCCAGCACCATCTTGGCGGTCGATCAGAGCCAGTGAGCTCTGTGGAAGGGAAACTGAGAAAAGACCAGGATGTCTTCCGTAGGAAGCAAGAAGGCCGGAGCAGGTACTTGGAGGCAGGGACTGCAAGCAGGAGAATAAGGATGCGCTGCGGGCGGATGAGGCTGGTGGACTGGGACAGCGCCGATGATGAATGATGCTGATAGCGGAGCTTAGGCAGAGGCGTGGTTCGAGCTCGGCACACCGCCCGCAACCCGCACTAACTATTCTTAGCCGCCTCTCCGCTTCCAATTGTTTACACTCGCTGTCTCGACTTCGCTGCAGCATCTCAGCATCCTCAACGCGCCGCGCACATTGCTTGCCACGCGACTTTCGCCGAACTATCGCTTTCCACCATATTTTCGAAGAAGCTACAGGTTTTTTGAGCGGCGGAATTGGATACTCGTCTGAGATTTATCTGTTTTGCCATTTTCGGGCACAATGGCTTCTCTCTTGCCGGGGAAACGCAAGTCGCCCGAGCCTGAACGCGGCTCCCACAATGACGATCCGGCTGCAACGCCTACAGGCAGCCCTGCCAGGAAGAAATTGAAGATCACTCGGAGCCAGAAGCAGGCTCTCATTGACAACCTACAATTGGAGAGTAAGATCATGCTGCCCGCTACAATGGACGCGACGGCCTCCCTTGATTGAGCATTGCTGACGCAAGCCAGTTACGGAACGGGCTCGCAAACTGCGTGCACAATACGCTCTCCAGGCACAGGACCTTCGAGCGCGGATTGAACGGCGCGTGAACCGTGTTCCTGTTGCTCTGCGGAAGGTCACCATGGGTGAATTGTTGGAGAAGTACGCTGCCACGGCACGACCGGAGGAGGCAGCAGAACCCATGAAGAAACCGGCCCTTCCTCCGAAGGCTGCCAAGAGTGCTGCTCCCACCACGATATCTAGGGATGTGGAAGGTCAAAGCGCGTCTGCTGCAGCTCCTACAGCGGTCAAGGCACAATCCCGTCGTGTCAAGCGCGCCAGGTACGACTTGTATTCTCATCGTTCCAGCAACATGCTAACCGGTCGCTAGTGATGATGGCCTGTTTTCAGACAAGGAGAACGCTCCAGTACCTGCAGATGTCCATATTCCGCTCGATAACCCGAAGAAACGGGGTAATCCGAACGTTGCCGCTGGTCAATCGCGTGCTGTGTCTCAGGTCCTCCGTGGCGCTGAGGCCAAGATTCTCTCTCCAAAGTCTTCCAACTCGCGAACCTATCATCAATCTCCGCTGATTACTTCGCCGAGTAAACCACAGCAACCAGCGTCATACTTGTCCCGGCCAGCATCACCCCTGAAGCCTTCCAGCCCATTGAAGGCTATGATCGAGAGTGCTAGAGCGCGAACCACAAAGGATATGGCATCGGAAGCCAAGAAAGCATCTCCGGTTGCGACGACGAAGAAAGCGAAAGCAACATCCCAGACTAAGAAGACTACAGCCAAGACAACCACGAAGCCAACAGCTGCAAGTGCCAAATCCCCAGCGCGGCCAGCAACACGTCAGCAAGATCGAACTACCAGCACGAGCACCATATCGTCTAATATTTCTTCGGGAACAACGATCGTCAAGTCGACACGAGCTGGCGCTGCTGCGAAGCGGACTGGAGCCGCAACTCCGGCCTCCACAACAGCCAAGAAAACCACAGTGGCACGAAGCCAAGGCCCAACCGCTGCTGCGACTGCCAAAAAGACAGCCGCTGCTGGGAGGAAAGTTGCCGCTGGTGGCGATCCACCTTCAGCGAGTGGAAGGGTATTGCGGAGACGTGTATAGATCCCTTGCAGTGTTGTGGCTTGCGATGTGATGATATTGCGATAATCAAGCTTACAACAGTTGGGAAACTTTGATAGAAAAGAGAGATTTGGACCTGAAAAGTTTCAAAGGGCGAGGCACTCTCAAGGCTGTTCGATATTGATATTATTAGGGCGTTTGTTCGACTTGGAAAAGTTTGGGCTGTTTTGAGTGAGGGTTAGATTGGACCTACATTTCTATTCCAGAGAGGATAGAGGCGTCGTCGCAGCGCATTGCGTCGCATTGTTTTGGGCATATAACCTTGAAAGAGGAGTGTATTAGTATGGTATCCGGCGTTTCGGGTTCGGGTTTGGGTTTGGTTTTTTGCTTGTTTTCTTGCCACAGATCCATCCAGATCAGAGTATGCATAGGAAGGAAGGATCCTATCTAACTGTTATTATTATATACTGTTTGTTATAGCTATAGCTGGCGATTTTGGAGACATGGGCAAAAAAAGGCTCAATATTATTTATTATTATTGTCAACCACCTGAATAAACTGCCCCCGCAGCACAGTGGCTCTCAGCTACCCTACTTACCTGCCTATTGCACGTAGGAGCTACGTATGTATGTATAGTGCATACATAATGTCCCTGTGAAGGAAGGAGGAGATGGGAATCTGATCAACCTTCCTTAACCCCCTAGACAGGGATAGGTAAGTAGGTAGAGTACTGGAGGTAGGTAGGTATATATATATATATATATTTGTGTAACTTTTTTTTTAAAAAAAGCAATTGTATGTATCGGCCTGGTCTGGTCTCATCAACGAACTCTCGTCAACTAGAAGTTCTACATGCATACCTAACTAGGTATATTTTTCCCCCCCTAGTTAATGTTGGTTGATCAGTTATCTTCGACAGTAGCTACTAATTACGACTAACATTGAAGAAATCAAGTGAATCTTATTAATTATTCCGTCTACATCATGTACATTTCTACAAAGATACAAAAAGAACGAAAAGAGGAGGTATGTGTGTGTGTGCGTGTTAAGTAATCTTCCCTCTCCTTTTTTATATATATTTTTGATATTGGTGGTGGCCCCCATTTTGATTATAATTGTTATTTACTTAATACCAATAATGATGGTAGTAATAATGGTAACAATAATTGATATGCTGCGGTATGGTATGTATGGTATTATTTTATTAATGGGAATTAGAAAAAAAAAGGGGTGTAAAAAAAAAACAAATACTTGGAATGGTCCTGGCTGCTAGTATCAATCAGGCTTTGAAGTTGAATGAATTTAATTGGATTGAATTGAATTGAACCGCAAGGCACGTGCATTTTCATGAGTGAAGGAAGACAAATAACAAAGAAAAAAAAAAACTCCGTCGAAAAAAAAAGGGGGAGAGGGAGAAGGAAAAGAATACTCCACGAAGACTTGGTATGGGAATGCAAATAACAGGAAAAAAAAAGGAAAGAAAAGAAAAGAAAACGAAACGAAATGAAACGACACGAATGCTCGACTTAATGCGAATGCGCCAAACCGGGTCCGGTGTCCTACTTGGACATTTGGACCTTTCCAGGATAGATGCAAGCATGGGCTGCGGAGGAAAGAAAAGAAGCGTCTGTTTTTTGGAATATGCATAAAATTATGAGATGCCGTCGCCACAGCTTTGAGCAAATAGAATCGAATCGAAGGATGGCTAGATGGGTAAGAAGCCGACGCCGACCTGAGAAAAAGGAATAGCGGAGAAAAAGAAAATGATGAGGGAGAGGGAGCAGATCGAGTGAGTATTCGCAGGATGAATGGATGTCATAGAGGCTTTACGCTGAATTGTAGATGAATACCATGCATGTGATCTTTCGATCCGCTCGAGAAGAATGCAGTGCAGAACATAAGACGTCGACGTCCATAGAAACAAAAGCCAGGCTATGGCAGGGAATCGAATAGCAAAACGTGACGTGACTGAACAAACATGGCTGACAGAAGCAAAAGCAAGCTCATCATCAATCCGTAGAAACCGACCAACGCACCATCTGAGAAGACTTTCGTGTCAGAAAGAAAAAAAAATAAAACAAAGTCACGTCCAACGAATCCGCTAGCCCTGTGCACAGTTTGATTATACCGGACCTCTACCCCCCCCTTTTTTGGTTTTACCTTCCTATCGCACCGAGGAACGCATATGACCATAATAATTGCACCTGTGCAAGAAACAAAACACCTTAATCCAGTGACTGGTGATCGCGCTAAATCAGCCAGCGACCCCCATAGGTCCTGTGCCAGCATGAGGTCTGTATGGGAGTTGCTGCTGCGCATCAGACTGAGAAGGCCGACCCATCGCTTGCTGGCTGGCAGCACTGGCGCTTCGGTCACGATAGTCGCCCTGCTGGGTTTGCTGCTGAGCATGTTCCGTACTCTGCTGAGAACTCCCCGGGGCTTGAACATGACGGACCGAACTCTGCATCTGCCAAGCCGCAGCCTGGGAAGGATCCGTCTCAATTCGTGCGGTCGCTGCAGCATTGTTACTGCGAGTAGAACCAGTGCTGCCGGACATCTCTCCGCTTTGCAAGATCTTTTGCGCAAGGTTTCCCTTGCCAAAGTCACCATACCGCTTAAGAATCTCTTTCGTGGTAATGTCGGCGTTGTCTTTGAAGAAACTGGCATCATTGAGGATCGACTGAAGATCTTCAGGAACCTGGGACGGAATTAATCTCTGGAACGGAATCTCAAATGGTAATTTATGACTTGAGCTTACCTCGCACATTGTGTCATTATACGTGATTAGTGAACTAACCGCCTCGATGGCTAGGAAGCTTTCGTCCATACTGCTGTTCTTCGTGTTGGGGTAAAGGATGTTCGGAGTCATGACAGTGGCAAGATTGTGGATGTCCATCTTGCTTCCAGACTCCTCGTCGACGTGGGAAAATGACGACGTCCAATTAAGGAATGCGAAGAGGACCTCCATGGTGTCACGATGAGCCTTTGGTAGGAGACAACACGTTAAATGCAACAGCCGTTTCTGTTTCTCTGGATCGGGAATTTCTGTCAAGTTTGTTAGCAACTACCCGTCTTCTGATATCTGAGAAAGGAAACTTACTCTGAGAAATCACGAAAAGGCGGTGCAGTTTGAAGGTCAAAAGGGGATCAGGCATCTCTCGAAGGAACTTCTTCAGTAACGCAGCAATCTGGACGGGACTCTCCTTGCTCAAGTCGACTTGGTCGTACTTATTATCAATCATATCAGCCAAATCCTTTAGGCGCCGAATATTGCCATTCTTCCGGAAGACACCCTCAACGGACATGTCCATTTGTCGCATCGCCGACACGGCATCGTCAATAAGGGCAGGGACACGAAGTGCGCCAGGTCCCACGCCATGCGTAGATTCTGCGCCCTCCTTCTCGACCAGGTAGTCGAGGCTGACTCCAAAGACGCCCTTCTTCTTTCCTGGCCGCTTCCCTTCCTTATTAAATGCGCGTCCGAAGATGTTCCAAATGGTAGGTTTTCGGGACTCAATCAAAGAGAGAAGTTCCTCGAGACTGAAGTGGCCCTCAACAAGTGGCTCCATTGAAAGAACGGCGACGTGTCGAACAATGAAATACTCCAACGCTGACAGTTCCGAGAAATACTTCTTAGTCTTCGTTGGTGCATTGTCAGGCGGAGGCGGCTCCGCTGGGGGCCCTGACACCTCCCGGCGATGCCCCGGACTGTATTTTGCTGGAGGACCGGAACCAACGAGATTAGTACCGGCATGTCTATAGGCATTGGGACGCTGTTCTTTCGCTTGCTCGGCGGCCACAATCCTAGGGATATCGTCCAAGGTAAGCGCGTCTTGATTACCGAATGTCAATGAATTCACGGTGTCGCCATTTGCGTCCTTCTCTTCCACTATCTGGAAACGTTGGTTTCGAGCGTCAACCGCATCGCCACCGGACGAGCCAGGCCGCACACTACTTCCCTCGGGGCCGTCGATGATTCTCGACGCACGGGCTTTCTTGTAGGTGGTTGACAAAGTCCGTTCATTTCGGATCGAACGTAGTCTCCGCATTTCACCAACGGTCTGTTCCAGAGAAGAAGACTCCTCGGTAGCATGCGAGCTAGTGTACGCTCTCGAACGTGTGTTGGTCTTCTGAGGGGACGACGACACCAATTCACCGGTGGTCGAGACCCGATTCCCTTCGTTCGCTTCGTGCTCGTTGACGTTGGGATCATCTGCAGTTTGAATAGTGAGTTAACATCTCACGGAGGAAGAAGGGCGGCTAAATGACATACCTGACGTTTGAGAGAGGGTCCCACTGGATCGTAGAACCGAAAGCAACCTTGCCAGAGCGACCTTGAGGAGAAACACATACTGTTGGAGTTTGCTGACATATGCGAAGCCTCCCTGTGCAGCTGGGACACGGCCCTTTTGAATGGCGCAGTTGCGACAGAATGGACGGTCATCCTTCTCACTCCACAGGCCATCAGGGAGATCGACTGTGAGATCCTTCTGACACACCCCACAAACAAGGTGTGGTGGTTTGATGTGCCATCTCCTGTCGCCCAAAATCACGCATGCATCATCAATTGGCTCTTTACATGCTGCACAGCAGTCAGAATACTGATCTGCCAGGTTTTCGACTCCGGTCATTAGATCGGTTGATTCCTCCTCAGCGGCCTTCAGTTCCTCAATATGGTCCCCGAGATGGTCAAGAAACCTGTACAGTCCATCAGAGGTATTCCTCTCGCGCTCCAGCTTCAGCGCACCCTGAAGGCCGATCCGGATCAGCAACTTGAGATAGTGGGCGAGCCCAGTTACCAACGAGAGCAACTCCTGAGTGACGCCCAACTTCCTGACACCGGTCTCCTGAGTTTTCGAAAGCAAAGAGAAGAAGGCCACGATTTTCTTGCATAGAAGCTTGGCTTCGCGTCCATAAGACAGATCTAGTATCTCAATTAGCACAGCAAAGATACCACATGGCTAGAGGAGTACGAACCCTTGATCCCTTGCTCTTTAAACATAGTGGACAACATGTCAATAGCCGTAAAGAGGATTTCGACGTGTGAAATGAACTTTTTTGCAACCTGTACGCCGTCCACATAGGCACCATTGCTCACATGCAGAAGCATGTCCGAAATGCACGCGGCCGATGACTCTTCGAATGAGGAGAGAATACTCCAGATCTTGTAGACCTTCTCTTCCATCATATCTTCCTCCTGCCGGACGCGTTCGCGCTCTTCGTCAGTCGCATCGATACCAACCTCCGGCCTCTCAAGCGGCTGGCCTGCTGGCGCGAGTCGGACATTCCAGAACTTATGAATCATATAGCATTCGGGGTGCCAATGCTGGTTGTGACCGTTGCGGAAGATCTCGACGAACTGCTTGAGGATGGCGGTATGACAGCCATTGCATCTCTGGGCGAACTGAGTCGAGTAGTGATAGTGACAATAGACATTCCCTTCGTGCTCATAATAAGAGTCTTGGGCACCAAAGACGGTCGGACAGACGGAGCAGGTGAAATGTTCGATGTGGTACTTGCGATCCAAAGCGGTGATGTAAGAGCCACGCAGGGCGCCGCCGCATGCGTGACAAAGGAGATTCAAGCGTCTGAAATAATCAGTCTCGCACAAGGGGTACTGTCCACTTCCGTCTTCGGCGTCGACAGGGAAGAATTTGGATGCCACGATCTCGCCGCAGTCCTGCCAATCATTGTTCGGTCAGAAGTCTGAGCAAAAGACAGACATGGAAGAAATCAGGGCCGACTTACATTGCACTTGAAACACTCCAGATGATAGGTACCTCCCAGAGCTCGAACAAACTGGCCGGTGAGAGTCTCGCCACACTTCTTGCAAATGCGAGTCGTGCTCCCCGGAGACTTGGTATTGGACCGTGCAGGTGGTCGAGGTCTCTCTCGTGGGTTCGATCGATCGCGCTGATCCGCCTGATCATGGTCCTGGGGATCATTGCCGGTATCTTGTCTTTTCGGATCGTCTTGTTGCTGGACATCGTCACGAGAAGACTGTGCTCCTCCATTCCACGGCGCATTTCCAGTTCTCGACAGCGGCGAGTCGAGAGGGACACTTTCATCCAAGGGGGAGATGGGAGATTGTGACTGAGAGCCTGCCTGGTTCGCCCAGTTCCGAGGGCTGTTTGCACCTCCGTTCCCAGGCATGAGGATGTCGGGTAAAGCACGGTCCGGAGGCATGACAGGCAAGTCCACCGCACGTGGTACAGATCCTGAAACCTTTTCCAAATCCTCAGCCGTGAAAGGCGCCAGGGACAGTTTTCAAAGCACGATGTGCCCGTCTATTGTCGTAGTCGAGGTTGGTTGCACGCACGATTATGGGTAGACAGAGGTATACCGCAAGCGTCGGGGAGACGTTAGCACATACGTGTATCTCTAGGTTCAAGCCATAAACCAGAGACAGATTCTCCAGTGTTTCTTCCCAATATCATGAGCTTTGCGTTGTTCAGTTCTGTCTCACGCCATGTACAGTAGCTGTGAAGCAGTCCTCGGGTGATCGGCGCCAAGGAGTGTCGGGGACAAAAACAGAGGAGGTGAGCTGGTTCGATCGATGGTCAACAGGAGGACAAGATTGTCGACGGAAATGCGACGCGGATCAAAGGCGGGGGGATATGCAAAGTTGTGATGGGGGAGGCTGCTCCCCAGATCCCTAAGTTAGAGCCCAAGGTGAGACACAACAGGCGGCGGAGCACACTGGCCAACACGATCTCAACCATTCCCGTTATTCATGCCAATGCGCAGTTCCAGAGAGCGCCTCCTCCGCCAGCACACGCTTTTTGGAAGAAACAAAATGCGCCAACAATTTCTGGGAAGAAATCAGTGAAAACGGCAGCAAGTGCGGGAGGTACAGCGAGTGTTTGTTGTTCCAGTGACGGGATGCAGGCGATGCCCCCTTATCAACCCAATGCCTCTGTTCCCTGCGGTTGCTGGCCGCCGCTAGGACAATCATGTGACTCGCTGACCGCCTTCGCTACTGCCAGTTTAGCATCGATGATCGGGCTTGCTAAAGCCTTGAAATCATCAAAACAGCGATTTGGCATAAAATAAAAGAGAGCTCAGTCAGAGAGGCATGTTCTTAACAGCTCCTTGTCGGAATCATGGAAATGGGGATGGATCATATTCTGCCTGTACTTCCAAACTAGTTATTCTGTATCCCAGGGTAAATAATGAGCATCCATTATCATCTCTGTTTACTAATAAAAAACACAGCAGGTGGAGAGCACCTAGGTATACTGGCTAGAAGGAATTATACAGTCGATTGGATCAGACGACATAATAAATATGTGTGATCTAACCCATCAGAAAAAAGATCAACAGTTTCTACAAGAGGGCAGAGCAGAACAGGCACTCTTGGAGGGGCGGCTGTCACTGGTCTTGGCAGGACCATCCATGGTTGACCTGGATGAGGCAGGCGCTGAATGTAGAAACTGGAACCTGGAAACAGATCGCTCATTCACCCTTACGATGAAGCCTCAGTGACAGATTATGACGATTAGAAACCTCTTTTTGTCTGTCGCCTGTGTAACGCAGAGCAGTGACTGAGTGCTGGCTGCCTGCATGCAAGTCTTACTTGCACCTACTTTTCAACTCACTTTCCACACTCAACTTCCGGGACTCTTAGTCTTAGCGCAAGGCTACATCAGGCGCCAAAGGGTCCCCGTTTCTCCCTTGTTCTGCCTCGTTCTGCTTGAATTGTTTTATTATGAACACACTGTCTGACCTCTGAGATACTGATCTGAGATTTATTGCATAGTCCAAGGCACAACAGCGAAGCAAGAGGTCAACTTCGAGCACCTGCTCCTGTTATCAATATGTCGGACCATGCCATTCTACGTATCACACGTGTATGTTTTCTTATTTGTCACATTGGTGATCTCGCGTTTCACCTAACTACATGGACTAACTGACAACGGGCGGGGTGGTGGGGTAATATAGGAGATCCGCCAGATCCAGCAAGGAACAGATCTCTGTAGGTGGATCTGCAAAGATACCTGGCTTCCCGTTGACAGCAAGTTTGCTCATTGCTTGAGAAGCTATTGCAGTGGCTTATCAGGAATCCGATATCCGCAACGTCAAGGCGTTGATTGTTGGTCCTCCTGGGACTCCCTATGAGTTTGGCTTCTTCGAGGTACGTCTGCCAGGATCGCCTGCCCTCTCCTGATGACATACTGACAAGCAGCGGTCGTCGCAGTTCTTGATCAGATTTCCCAAAGGTTGGTATTCTAACACTTCCATGGCTGAAAGTCGTAACTAATGATGGTCACCGTCCAAGATTACCCGGGAAGCCCGCCAAATGTGCGAGCGATAACAACAAACGGGGGAAGATGTCGATTCAATCCTAACATTTACGCAAATGGAAAAGTTTGCCTGTAAGCACATGCACCTTACATGCCATAAGCTTTGAGACAAGCGCTGACTGGTTCCTTCGTCACAGATCAATTCTCGGGTAATGCACTTGACATCATTACAGCAACGTGAAATTGCTAAATAGTCCTCAAGCACATGGCGCGGCGAGAGGGGCGAAGAATGGTCATCGGCCCAAGGCCTGGAGTCGATCTTGATCTCCATCCAGAGTCTGATGTCCTCCAACCCCTACGAAAATGAACCGGGTTACGAAGATGCCAAGTCTCCCGAGGACAAGATCATGATGGCTCACTACATCGCGAAGGTAGTGTACAATGACCGGCCAGAATCTATGGTTTGGCTGCTGATGGACACTAGATTCAACACGAAACTCTACGGATTGCGGTGATCCAGCCTCTTGAAGATTCTCTCGGGATTCAATTGGATGGAACCCTCCTCCCTCCTACGAATGCGAGTGACACGGATGACGAAGAGACATGTTTTGAGGACGAAAAGGCGGCGTTTGAGCCTTTTAGTGATCTTCGCAAGAGGCGTTTCTTGTGGTATTACGAATCCTACATGCAGACGATCGAAACCGCTGCGCAGAAAGTCAAACCGCAAGAGAAGTTCCAGCAAATGTCTTTTGAGGGTGGAGACAATGCCATGGCTGGGGTCTTCGACTACCCGGAATTGAAGAGGCGGATACGTTTTATCAAAGAAGCCATCCTTAACGAGACGAAGAACTGGGCAGTTAAAGGTCTGGAGGCGAAGAAACGTGAATCCAGAATTGCGGTCAACCTACAACGTCAGTATGAGCAGGTTGTTGAAGATCTTCAACGCCAGAAGGCCTTCGCTATTGACTTGACGCTCTTGGACGATAACCCATTCGTCTGGAAGATGACCTATTTTGGACGGCCCATGACACACCTCGACGGCGGAATCTTCAAGATTAAGATTCACCTCAGTCCCCGCTTCCCGGACGAGCAGCCGCGCGTGTTCGTCGAAACTCCTCTCTTCCATCACCGCGTTTCTAAGGACGGAGTGCTTTGCTACTTGCCCAGGCGCACGGAAGAGATGAAGCATCATATCGAGGCGATTGTGGAGGCCCTGGAAGAAGAATCTCCGCCCTACGATCCGAGAACGACGGTGAATCTGGAGGCGTCAAAGCTCTTCTGGGGCTCAGCCGAGGAGAAGAAGAAATACTACCGCGCACTGAGAAAGTCGGTGGAGAGAAGTACAGAGTGAGTGACCTATCCTCGACAGCTTGGTACAGCATCCAAGTGTCTGACACACATACAGAGAGGCATAGGCATGTTGTGCATCCCGCATAGCAGCCAGTCTTCCATGCAATCGGAAAAGCTTTTCATCTCAAAAGGTTCCATGAGCGATTCTAGCCTTAATACGTTCTAATTATTCCTCTAGTGTGTCACTCAGAATTTGCACGATTTGCTCATGCCTTTTTTTTATCACTAGCACTCTTCTTCTCTGGCGCTGAGATCGTACTTGGGAGGGCGTCTCGGAGTTTGCGGGCAAAGGACGACGATTTCAATTTGACTTTGCATTCTCGTTCGGCAACGTAGCTGGAGTCGTGGGACTTTTCGGGACGTAATTAATCGCCACCAGACAGGGATTTTAATAACTAACTAGTTAGCCCAAATTGTGAACAATGAATATCAGCTAACGACTATTTGACTGGTTTGATTGCACCATCAAATCAACCTGCATGGGACTCAGTAATTTGTTAAAATTGTTTGCTTGATAGCAATTGTAAACACTCTTGAACGCAACTGAGATGATGACTCGGCTCTGTTCTGTTACTTTCGAGTGCTGATAGCACGCCCAACTGCATCGTATGATTTAGGAAAATTTCAAGACCAATGCAACAATAAAGATTAAGTCATGCTGTACGGAGTAGAATGGAGATGATGGACTGCAGTTGGCTTTGGATGTACTTCAGGTATTCATCGTTTTCATATGGCGGACATTTAGCTACCGCATTGGCCCACCGGACTAAGCTCCAGCTCCGCGATCGTCTCCGCAACGACGGACCCCTTTGAATTTTTGGAGTAGCCACCTTGTCCAGCTCAGTCTCTCACAACTACGTTTACGCAAGGCTTCCTTGATCCTTTCTTTACAGGGGCCATAGAGAAGCCCTCCACATCCCTCCAATGCCTCCGAAACAACGTACGATTGAGCTGGGCACTGTCCTGGTGGTCGGCGGCTGCGGCTTCCTGGGTTCGAATATCGTCGACCAGCTGCTCAACTTCCCCACGGAAAACGATCCCAGCGCTGCTCTTCCCAGGATTGAAGGAGATTCCCGATTCGACCACCCTCGTCTGACTGGGCGGTATCCCAAGTATGCAGCCAAGGTCGCCGTGGTCGATCTGCGTACGACCCACAACCGCCTGCCCGGCGCCGAGTACTACGAGGGCGATATCACGTCAGCGGAATCGATGCTGGAGGTCTTCCGGAAGGTGAAGCCGGAGGTGGTGATTCATACGGCGTCTCTTATGCTGGATGAGAACAAGCCATTGATCCACAAGGTCAACGTGGAGGGGACGCAGACTCTGCTTGACGTCGCCAGTGGTGCCAAGGGTGACTGGGGCGGGAAGTGCAAGGCCTTCGTCTACACGAGCTCGAGCTCTGTGGTGCACGATACGCACAGTGATTTGATCAACGTGAACGAGCAATGGCCTTATGTCCGGGGCCCGTTGCAGAAGGAATACTATTCCGAGACGAAGGTGGGTTCCCTCGCAAGTGGCACTGGGACGAGGTTGTGATACTGACAGAATTTGCTTTCCCAACAGGCTGATGCGGAAGAGCTTGTCCTCAAATACAATCGTGCCGCTTCCGGTTCAATGTTGACGTGCGCGATCCGTCCAGCGGGCATATACGGCGAAAGAGACACGACGTTTACGTTCAAGATCCTAGAACACTCCTCCAAAGCGTCTCGCACTACGCTTCGCATGCAAGTCGGCGACAACAACAATCTCTTCGACTTTACATATGTGGGCAATGTCTCCTATGCTCACATGCTAGCGGCGGAGCGTCTTCTGGCAACGTATGCGCGCTTCGAGAACGGACAGGGTGCACCCCTGGACTATGAGCGCGTTGACGGCGAGGCGTTCAACGTCACCAACGACTCGCCAGTGTACTTTTGGGACATGACGCGAGCGGCATGGGCGCTGACAGACAAGATCATCGAGCCGAAAGATGCCTTTGTCATTTCGGAGGGTTTCTTGACCGTCGTGGGCGCAATCACGGAGGGTATTTTCGCATTGCTTGGCAAGACGCCGCGTCTGACGAGACGGATGGTGCGCTATTCGTGCATGACGCGGTATTACTCATGCGCCAAAGCCAAGGAGAGGCTGGGATATAAGCCTGTCGTATCTGTCGAAGAAGGTCTCGCGAGGGCGGTAGGTTATGTGTTGGCGAACAAGGCTGCCACGAAGGAGAAGAAGGAGCAGTAGAGGGGAAAAAAAAAGGCAGGAAGGACAGGGGAAGAGTGTTTCTGTAGATATTACCATGATTCCTTTCCAGCATTTATATTCAGTACAGTACATAATTTGATAGCTTATGTTAGAATAATGTTAATCAACCGATAGCAAAGACGAGAGATTACACTCAGCCTGCCGACTCATAGGGTCTTTGGCACAGCAACCTGGATAGTTCTGTTCTGACTGACTGCCTTGGCTGATTAAGGTCTTTCGACGCAGGATTTAGATAAACAACTCACTCGCGTACCTTGTCTGTACAGTACATACCTTGAACCTAGCAGATGAATCGTTCATAAAGTCTTGCTACATACCTTCTTCCTCACTTTGCGCCCTGCTTATAGCCTTCATAATGGGCTACCTATGTAGCATACCTGATGCAGAGAAATTGATTACGGAGTACTCCACAAAGGATTCCCGGCTATCACCGGCTTGCGGAGGAGAGAGGAGCCGGCCGAAAGAAAATAGCGTGACCTGAGTCATGGAGGTTACAGGTAAGGTACCTACGGAGTACTTAACGTACTCCGCAATGTAATCCATGAAACAAATATACATTCAAGTTCGTCAAAGACAACATTGACTTACGTCGCTCTTATTTTTTTTTATAAAATAAAAAAATAAAGAATCAGAATTAATATTCTTATCTACATACCAGTCTTCTATACTGCAGGATAGGATAACTTTCTGCTTACCTAATGGTGTACAGTACGGTACAAACATAAATCTCACTCGGCCGGCAGGACGGAAATGGTAAGGTGCCAAAGCCAAAAGAACCTACTACAGGCAAATCGAGTCATACTCTTCCCGGCCGATTCAAGAAGACAAGAAGAAGAGGCGTCGATGACATAGACACATATGACAATAATGCACGTGGGTGGATTGAGAAGCATGGATTATATATCTGATGTCAGACTGCATGCTCATGGAGGAGTATCGACGACGATCTACATATAAAAAACAAGGGAGGAGAAATTCTTTGGTCATCGTCAGCCAGTCCTTCATTGCGGGACAAAAGAAAGGAAGGAAATAGCAGAGATTTTTTCTATTTTCTTCTGTCTATCTATTGATTCTGCCATTGAGCTGATAACATGTCGGAAAATACTATGGAAGAAGACAATGATTCCTCTACGGCTGAGCCCACACAGCACGATGTTGGCTGGAGACGGATTGTTCGACATTTTACGCCATCGTATGTACACGCCAATAATACCCTTTTTTTTTCTCGCAGTGGATTCATCCTTGCAAGAAGATAACTGGCTAACTTGACCAAACTAGATGGTTTTCGGTGACCATGGGCACAGGAATCGTGTCCATTCTGCTGAACACCTTGCCCTATAATGGTTCATGGCTGTACTGGATCTCAATCATCATCTTTGTTCTGAATGTGGTTCTCTTTGCAGCGGCCTGCGTCATTACTGCGATGCGGTACATCCTCTATCCCGACATCTTCATGGCCATGATCCGCCATCCGGTCCAGTCGATGTTTATCGGCACCTTTCCCATGGGCTTCGCGACTATCATCAACATGTTCTGCTTTGTGTGTGTTCCGGCCTGGGGCGAGTGGACGAGGAATTTCGCCTGGGGGATGTGGATCTTCGATGCTGTGATATCGGTCATGACGGCGCTGTCTCTTCCTGCTCTTCTGTATGCTGTCCTTAACGTAACGAAAGTCTTGCGAAGTGATATTTTCTCCATTTAACCCCTCGCTGACACCTGCAGAATGATGCACATGCCCGAGGTGCAGCTGTCTTCCATGACAGCCGTCTGGCTGCTGCCCGTCGTCAGCTGCGTCGTTGCCGCCGCCTCGGGAGCCATTGTCGCCGACATGCTCACCGACCCGCAGCATGCGCTGTGGACCATCATCGTCAGCTACATCCTGTGGGGGATCGGCATCCCAATGGCATTGATGGTGATGGTCATCTACTTCCAGCGGCTGACGCTGCACAAATTGCCTCCGAAGGCGATGATCGTGAGCGTCTTCCTGCCACTGGGCCCTCTTGGTCAAGGTGGTTTTGGGTAAGTCAAAGTCAAGCCCCCCACCAGACCCAAATAAATCTGACATGTCGTATTGGGTATTCAGACTCATGAAGCTTGGAGCCGCCGCGCAGGCCATATTCCCCCAGACACAGACTCTGTCAGGTAATGCAGGTTCGATCTTCTACGCGGTTGGCATGCTGGTCGCTCTCATCATGTGGGCCTTCGGGCTGGTGTGGCTGTTCTTTGCGTCTGCATCGATCGCCTACAGCAGGAACTTTCCCTTCAACATTGGCTGGTGGGGATTTACGTTCCCGCTGGGCGTTTTCGCGACGAGTACCTGCCAGTTGGGGAGGGAGTTGCCGTCGCGATTCTTCCTGGTGCTTGGAACGGTGCGTCTATCAATCATCTTACCTAAGTAACTTAATGAGTGTCTGTCGCAGCTGACATTTGCACAGATCTTTTCCGTCGCTGTCACATTACTGTGGATCGTCGTGTCCGTCGGAACGGTGAAGGGCGTCGTTTCCGGGAAGTTGTTCTACGCTCCGTGTCTGGCTGACCTGCGAGTAAGGAAGAACGAGGAGAAGGACAACTCCAAGGCGGCTTGACAGGAGTTGTCCATCACAGCATAAGAAGTATAGACATTGTTAATATTTTCCTTAGCATTCTTCATTGCATGAGAGGCATCGAGGGTTTCTGTCGTTTCCATATTAGACGTTGTCTTTTTCTGTCATGAGTGACTTTCGCCGGTGTTTGCAGGGATAGAATAGAATTCCTCTGATAGTTCTATTCATGAATTTACTGATAGAAATCTCAAACGAACGCTCCGATTTAACCAGACCAGACACTTCATCTCCAGAGATAGTATGTATGTATGTACAGCACATACATCCATGGTCCAGGACATAGATAACAAGTTATAGTTTGATATTATATCATTGATGCAATTAATCAATTGCTTTAATTATCCTAACAAACGAATTACCATATACGAAGACACGCAGACAGCCATGACGTACGAATAGACAAATCGAGCAGTAGAGCAGTATAAAAACCTTATTTATTGGTTGTTATTTAACGTTTATTAAGCTATTAATTATTATCAGTACTACATAGACAAGGGGGAACTTGGGAAGTCAGGTGTCAGGTGGTAAAGATGGAGGTTAATTAACCCTGCTATTACCTTGGGTACATATACCTATGCAGGTAGCTACTATAGGTACAGTATCGTATGGAACTACTTTTCCAGGTAAAGATAAGAAGGACAATGGCAATCAGTATACTAATACTACATGTGCATAACTAACCCCCACGTTCTCTCTTTTTTTTCTTTTTTTTCACCCCGCTGAAATGGATAGACGAAAGAAAAAGAGAGGAAATTATTTTCCCGGGAAATTTCAATCCTGACCAAGAGGGGGAACGTACATACATACAGTACACTCAACCCTAGTCTAGCGGGATGGATGATGGCTGGGTGGCTACATATGCAGCTAGCTAGCTGGCTGGGCTAGAACGTATTAAGAATATAGTTACTGGCGTGTAGTTGGCTACTACTCGAGAGTTAAAAAGACAAGAGACGGCTCGAGGAGCGGAAAGGTCATGGGATGCAAATCTCTTCTTGTACAGGACATACAGTACATGCTAGGAGTCTAGTGTTCTCCATGTCAGCTGGCAAGTCGGTTATGCATGTAGGTAGGCCAAGAAAGAAACGGTGATCTCTTGCCTGCTATGTACGTAGGAATTAATACTCGCTACTATATACATACTGTACTGTACATACTTCCTTCCTACTGGACTGGGAGATGCACATACAACGGCTGCAGGAGAGTGCAAGGATGGAATAGGGTTAAGTACCAGGATTGAAGGCGGGATTTGGCCACATACCAGTCCTACCGCATCTGCAGAATGACAGAGAGAGAGAGAGAGGATAAAGGATGTGCTGTGTGTGTGCGCGCGTGGGTGGCCGGTTCAAATCTGAACTATATTTTCCCCGCAATTTGGGAGAGTTAATTGCCAACTAAACTGGCGTACAACTAACTAATGGGGTAGATAGCACGCCCTCCATGAATGAATAATATTAATGGATGAAATGAGTTAATTACGAGAATTGTCGTTTGTGGTTGGTTGTCATATAAAAAAAAAAGAAATTCAGTAGTAAACTACCTAGTTCCCTGACTTTTGCCGGTTGGCAGGTAAACTGATGGTGGGAGGGCACAAAGATCACACGAGGCTGGCATTTTAACTATCTCTATTACGTGCTCCGTATGTGAAATGATTTCTTTTTAACCAAAAAAGAACAGTAAAAGTGAAAAATTCCTCGCCCTCGTGTTAGGCTAGAAAAGTCAAAGTGCTGAGGTAAACCGGTCTCGTGCTGCTCTTCGAATTCCTCCATGACAGGGGTCAATCGAGAAGATGCTTCGAGAAGAGCGAAACTTAATATAGAGCCCGGCTGTCCAAGACAAGCCGGTGGCGTAAGGCCAGAACGGCACGTCTGCGATCTCTTTGGCTGGAGAGTCGCTCTACTGGCGTTGTTGGGCTACCGCTTATGCGGAATCCCAGCAGGTATGAAGGGGGAGGAGGAGGGGAAACCAGAAAAACGGGCCAAGGATGGAGGGATACGACAGCAGAATCAGGCCATCTGCATCGACTGCGTCAGGACTTCAGCGATGATTTGCTGCTAGAACGCTGGTCTTAAGTTAGTGGGGAAATAAATACAGGGCTGCGGTTCTTGTTCGGTACTATTGACCGAGTTTGTCGCTGAGACTGACGACCAGGCACGCACACCACTGCCCTGGACTCCACAACCTTATAGTCCGTACTCCGTACACGTAGTTAGCCTGTCGACCAGGGGAAAAAAGCTATTTGTACGACATCGACTGCGCATCTACACCGCTGGAGCATGATGCTGGACACGAGTGCTGATATAACGGATGCCGCGCGCCGGAGCAATTCCTCCGCCGTGGCCAGGATCACATGATGGCTGGCTGTATCAGTAATAATGGAAGATTCAGCCTGAGGCAAGGGATAGCCTCGAGTTCTCAACGTGCACCACGGCTGGCTTGCACTGGAGACGCAACTGCTGTAGGAACTACTGTCCAGCTCCATCTCGTTGATCTGCTGGATGCGCTGAATTATGTCATCGGACCCAGCCTTCCGACCAGCAAACGCACGGCCGTCAATGCTGTTCCAGGCATGACAGTTGTCGTCGTAGAGACCGTAGGCTCCGTAGCTGATCTGAGTCTCTCTTCATCAGATACGCTCCAGTCCCAGCGTCATTGGCTCGTGTCGTTCTTGTCCTCACTAACCGGCCGTCGAGCCCGTGGCCTCCGCTAGTCTCGTGAGTCGGATCTCCAACCCTCGTCCCGCTCCGTCCCTCGTCGCGCGCTCTTCTTTATTTCTGTCGACAATCTTGCTGTCCATGCTGCTATCCTCCCCGTGCATGCCTTTGCCCTGAGCATTAATTGTCCCTGAGGTGGGCTCGCCTCGTTCGCCTTCTCGCCTGCTTAGTGAGCGCTCCACCTCGCCTCCGCTCCCCACCGCCCGGCCAGCGACGAGTCACGTCGGGATACTGACGTACGTCCTCGACTCGACAGCTCTCTACCCACCGATTCCCCGTCACGTCCAAATTCTCCTGCCTTGACAACGCGAGCACCGTCTTTCGTTGAGGGCGTGTGGCCCTCGCTTTGCCTCTCCGCTGTGCAGTGAGATTGTCGACTTGAACGGCCCCCTCTCATCCTTCCCCCGCCATGGCCTGCTGATGCTGCCGGCAAAGCCATAACCTGCTCACGGGCACCCGCTCTGCCTGGCAGACGGTCCGGCTTTGCTTGGTACCTCTCAGGCTCTACGAATCTCCTCCAACCTCCTGGCGACCTGTGATCAGGTGTCCTCCTGCGAGGGCACCTGGCGTCGAATTTACCCTCGCCTCTACAAGGCACCACAAGCATGGCGGCCAATGACGGTGAACCGCCCCGATTCCTCGCCCCTCCGGCTGTCACGGCCTTGAGGCAGGAGGCCCGTGGTTCAGAATCCCGGAGGGTGTCGATGGAACGCTCCTTCAGCGATGACATGCGGGCAGAACGTGACGACCTTCGGGAGGCTGCGGAGCAGACGTTGAATGTCATCCTTGACCTGGGTCTCGACGGCCGCATCAAGTGGGTGAGCCCATCCTGGAAGCAGGTCGTGGGCTCTACCCCAGAGTCCGTCGAAGGAAAGGCCATCTCCGACGTCCTGCTCACCAACAAGACCGCCTTCCACGATGCCGTTGAGTCGATGAAAGAGGACGGCTCGCACAGCCGCTTTATCCGCTTTGCAGTCCGCATGGGCCCCGACTCGGTGCTGAAATATCCTCCAGAGCAACATCCGCGCGACAGTGATCACCCAATCGGCGAGAATGAAAATGAGAAACAGGCACCGCCAGAGGAGGATAGCCAAGACAGACAGGCCGATATCCTCAACATGGAAGCCCAAGGGATCATGGTGTATGATCGTTCAGCCGATGGAGAAGGTCATGTAAGTTGCATTGGATTACTTGATTTTCAGGGACTGGGCTTGCTGACACTGGTTTGATTAGACAATGTGGATGCTGCGGCCGTCAACACCGCCAAAGGAAGTGACTATTGATCTTCCTCCTTTACTTGTGGAATCCTTGGGAGTCGGAGCAGAGGTCCTGGCGAATCACTTGACCAAACTGGCGGAGATGGGGGCCAGCGATCCTATCGCGGCGAAGCAGCAGATGCCTGCTCCAGTCCTCTGTCGCATCTGCGAGCGCCAGATCACTCCCTGGTGGTTCGAGAAGCATTCGGAGCTTTGTTTGCAGGAACATCGGGCGGAAATGGACGTCCAGATCGCACAGGAGAACCTCGAGGAGCATCGGCATGCGATCGTCAAGGTCCTGGACGCTCTTGAAGCCCGTCAGGGGCGACCCCAATCTGACCCTTCATTGCCCCAGCCGGAATACAAAGGCCTGCCCATCGGACCGTCTCCTGCATCATCGGGACCGACTTCTACCGCCAGTTCGTCTCCGGCTACGCCGCCTCGATCCAGGGAGCCGTCGACCTCCGGCTTTGGACACGGACGAGGTCGCTCCTTCGCCGTGCGCCGACCCCTCGCCCGTATCGTCGAGTTGATTCTGGATCTCTGCGACACGGCGTTGGAGATCAGCACCCCGGCGCTAAAGGAGACTCGTGCGGACAACGGCGAGGATCTTCGAACCTTGTCGCCGCAGTCGGAGTCCCGCATCTCTCAGGTTCTGCAGTGGCAGTCACCCAGCAGCAATACTCTCGACCAAGAGCAGGGCCTGGCCGCCTTATCTGCAGATACGGAGCAGCTCGCAAAAGCCAAAGTCGACGCGGTCATTCGACATCGCAGAATTGTCGAATATGCGGAACGGCTCCGCGTTGAGTACACAGTTATGGTAGAGGAATGCATCGATGCTGCTTTGAGCAAGGCTGAACGCATTGCCGCTGGCGAGCTCAGCGATTCGTCCTCGTCCTATGGGGATGAAGATTTGCTGGAGGAGGATGTCGAGGGGGAACAGCAGGACTCCTCTCAGATTACGGCGGCTCCTGCATCTCAAGATACGTCGATTGAAGGGGTGGCACGAACTTCATCAGATCCCTCGTCAATGTCTCAATCACCGCGAGGGGGTTCGTCCGTCGCCGTGTCGACTCGATCGGCCAGCCCAATGGAGTGTCCCACGCCACGGTCCCATAAAAGCGTCACTGGTCTTCTGGGCACGTCTCAGCCATCAAAACGGGGTTCCCTGCTTGCTGAGAGCGATGCGGGTGAGAACAGTGATAGCAGCAGCGTGCCCTCGTCGGTCTTCACGGGGGGGATGCGGACAGATTCTCCCTCCTCCGATAAGGGTCTCTCGCGCAAAGCCAGTTCCAGAGGAAAGAAGCGAAAGAGTCTCATCCTACCGGGCTTGTCGAGCTCTCCGCGACGCCAACCGTCCCCTGCTCGGGGGCCGGCTCCTCCATCCCCTCTGCGGCTGTCTAAGCCTCGCCTTCCTAGCGGAGAGACTCTGCCCTCTCCGAGCATGTCTCCATTACAGTCTTCAAACGAGGGTGCGGCCCATAGCTTACCGCAGCATCACCACCTCCACTATCATCATCGCCGACAGTCGTCCGCAACATCCTCCGATGTTGCTAAGCCGCCACTTTCACCGCGTTTGTCCTCGGTCAGCCAGCCTCAGCCCCGCCCCGCACCCACTTCCATCAAGGATTTCGAAGTCATCAAGCCAATCAGCAAGGGGGCTTTTGGGAGTGTTTATCTCGCGAAAAAGAAGATTACCGGGGAGTATTTCGCCATCAAGGTTCTCAAGAAGGCGGATATGGTTGCAAAGAATCAGGTGACAAATGTGAAGGCGGAACGAGCCATCATGATGTGGCAGGGGGAGAGCGACTTCGTCGCCAAGTTGTATTGGACGTTCTCCAGCAAAGACTATCTTTATCTGGTGATGGAATATTTGAACGGCGGGGACTGCGCTTCTCTCGTCAAGGTCCTTGGAGGACTTCCCGAAGATTGGGCAAAGAAATACATCGCCGAAGTTGTTCTGGGGGTTGAACATCTCCACAGCCGAGGAATAGTCCATCGTGATCTCAAGCCCGATAATCTCCTCATCGATCAGAAAGGACACCTCAAACTGACCGACTTTGGACTGTCTCGGATGGGTCTCGTTGGTCGTCAGAAACGCGTGTTGAAGAATCCCAACGAACCTGCCCCTGATCTTCTCAAGCAGGGCCAGTTTCCCAAGGGCACGTCCCTCGCCTCGTCGCGCTCTGCATCCTTCGATCTTCAGGGCGGTCAGTCACCTAGCTCGACCCCTATCATCACCCCGGACACTGCGGGGAGCTACAACCAACCTTCGTACTTCAGTCTCAACCAGCCCACTTCCGGCCGTGAAAACTCGAGACGCGCATCTGGGTACCGGAGTGACAGTGGGGGTAGCGATACTTTGAATGCCATGTTTCGGAATTTCTCCCTCAACGAAGGAGGCGAAACCCCAGCACCCTTGTCCCTGGCGCCGCGGAGCAGTACGGCAGAAGAGGAAGCCCCAAGCGAAGGAGGCGACTCTCCCCACCTTGTGCCATTACATCAGACTATCAGTCACTCTTCCACTCAATACGGCACCCCGCCCCAGCAGTCGATGCTGCCTCCTCCGATGGCGTTGTTCGACCCCGAAGACAATAACAGACGATTCGTTGGTACGCCTGATTATCTTGCTCCTGAGACGATCAATGGCTCGGGACAGGACGAGATGAGCGATTGGTGGTCATTGGGTTGTATCCTATTTGAATTTCTGTACGGATATCCTCCTTTCAACGCCGACACCCCAGATGAGGTCTTCGATAATATCTTGAACAGACGAATCAACTGGCCTGAAGGTGCTGAAGAGATGGTTTCTCCCGAAGCGATCGACTTGATGAACAAGCTGATGACGATCGATCCTGAAAAACGCCTTGGCGCCAATGCTGAGGAGAAATTTCCCAATGGAGGAGCTGAGATCCGCAGCCATCCATGGTTTGCGGACATCAACTGGGATACCTTGCTGGAAGACCAGGCGCAGTTCGTGCCGAACACTGAGAATCCTGAAGATACCGAATATTTCGATGCTCGTGGCGCAACGCTTCAATCGTTTCAGGAAGATCTTGAGGATCAGTTGTCCCCTCAATATCCGATGTCGACAGGGGACTATCCAGACCGTCCACATGACGCGCTCTCCAAGGTCCGTTCTCAGGTGAATTCCCTCAAGCGGGGGCTGATGCCATTGCACATACCCCCCCATGTCCGGGATTCACGCAGCAGACGGCTGAGCGAGCCCGTCTTAGCTGATGATTTTGGAAATTTCAACTTCAAGAATCTCCCCATGTTGGAAAAAGCCAACAAGGACGTTATCCAGCGGTTGCGACAGGAAGCTATGCAAGCGCAACAAAGAGCCATCACGTCGGCAGCTGCGCCAACGCCGCCGACGAGCTCAGGGCCTTCTCTGGAGGGCAGTCCTCTTCTTCCTATACCGCTTCAACGCACCCTTTCTCAAAACAAGGGCAACAATCGACCGGCTTCGCCATCCAGCCTGAGTCAGGCAAACTCCTCATCCCCGAGTCGGCCATCGCAGCCATCGTCGCCGTTGCTGGTGCAATTCAGCACTGGGCAGAATCACGAACGGAGAAAGACGTCTGGCTCTTCTTCGACACAGTCTCACCAGTCTAGTGGACCTATACCCACGGAAAAAGCTGGTGATCCTTCTCGCATGACGACGAGCATCAAACTCGCATCCTCGGCACCATCTCCAAATAAGCCCGCTAGAGTTCCGGCACAGTCCCCGGACAGCAAAACAGCCTCTGGCAATCGTCAGGGCGGGGTCACAACGCGTGCGAGGTCCCAGACCATTGGCTCTCAGGAGAGTGACGTGCAGAGTGTGAAGGAGCCATACATTCCAGGTCACCATAAACGCCGAAGCCAGTTGTTCGACATATCTCCGTCGTCTTCTGACAACGAAGATCCCCGCACAAAGGCCCTTCTCAAGGTGCAGAGGCGGCGTCAAAGTTCTCGACGGCTTTCTCAAATCAATATGCCAGAAGGCCCGTTCTTCCGGCCGCTTGATGTTCTCATCTGTGAAGATCATCCAGTTTCGAGGATCGTGATGGAACGACTCTTCGAGAAGCTCCGTTGTCGTACGATAACTGCGGTCAACGGGTCCGAGGCGATCCGGTACGCTTTGAGTGAGGTCCAGTTTGATATTATCATGACCGAATTCAGACTCCCTCAGATCAACGGGGCGGACGTGGCACGGATGGTGCGGGAGACAAGAAGTGCCAACAAGCACACTCCCATCATCGCCGTCACTGGTTATCTCAAGGACCTCCCGGAGACTCACTATTTCGATGCGCTCATTGAGAAGCCTCCCACTCTGACCAAGCTGATCGACGCGCTGGGCAAATTCTGTCAATGGAAGCCTCCGTCGAAGGACGACATTCCGCCGCAGCCTCTGTCGATACCTCCATCGGTGGTGCGCCAAGCACTTGGACGTGCTGAGGACAGTCCCAGTTCGACATCATCAGGCTTCCCGCAGATGCCGTCCAGCTCTTATCGGGGCTCCAGTCGTGAAGATTCCATCGGAAGCAGTTACTTTACCGATGTGGACTCTGTCAAGCCGGAGGAGGTTCCTGTCATCATCAGTCGCCATACTGACGAATGGGGCACTAGTCCAGGAGGATTGGGGATCTCAGAAGACGCAGCGGCCGCGGCTGGGGTTGCTGATCCGAAAGCCAATCCTAGTCCCATCACTTTGCCTCAGTTACAGCACACAGTTTCGGCGCCGCCTACTTCTGGCGTTCCTGGACTGGTCACACCCCGCAAGCAACGGTCCAGCGAAGCCATCCGTACCAAGCGAGAGTCCCTGGAGAAGAGGCTGCACGAATGTGCGGAGTCTGGGGACGATGAAGATGAGGAGCTCGGGAGCCTCCAACTGCGAATCCGTAGTTCGCAGACGACGAAGGGGCCTCGGTCGAGTTCGAAGCTGGGCACTGAAATGATGAGGACTAATAGTCGCGGAAGTGTCGTCAGCGGCAGCGAGGAGCTGCTCAAGAAAGAGAAGGAGTCGACAGACCAAAGCGTGACTGCTGACAACGCGGGAGAGACTGGCGGTACAAGCACTTCCGAGATTGAACAAAAGCTGGAAGCGCTTCAGATCCCGGACGAGAACATTTCTCCCGGCGAGACGAAACAAGATGATGACGGACCTGGACCATTGGAGGTACCTGAATCAACCCAGCCTCAGCTTGAACATCCGGAGTGTCCGGCTCCTTTGCCTTTGGACCAGGAGACGGATATTCAGTCTCCGACCGATCCTCAGCAGACTGTTGTCCCTGCATTGAAGACTCCTGAAATCACGACACCGTCTCCTAAAGATAGCGGTCCAGTCGAAGACGTAGTCGAACCGTCTGCCGCGCAACCTAGCGAGGCCGATTATTCTCCCGGCATTACAGAGCGTGCCGAGAACGAGAACGAGAACGACCTGCTGGCGGCTGAAGACGAGAATGGTGACGCGGACGCCACTCCCAAGCCCGCGCCGACCTCTACCACGCCATCGTCTTCCGCCGAGATGGACGATGAGTCGACGCCGCGCCCGATGGAAAAGGGACGCGAGCGCGCAGCAGAGTACCGGTCGACAATCTTTCCTTGGAGGATGCGATAGGCATGTCTTGTAAAGTTATGCTGGATGGAAGGAAGGATCATAGTCATTGGAGAAGAGCAAGAAACGAAACGAAACGAAACGAACGAACAAACAGACAAACGTTTAGTTCTTCTCTTGTCTTGTCTTGACAATGATTTTTTTTTTCATCAAGTTCATGATGATAGTAGCCATTGATCGATCCGATTAATTGATTGATTAATTGATTGATTCCTGGCTAGACGGACCTGTCTCTTTTCTTCTCTTTCTCCAACTCCGACTGACTTTGACTCCAACTTTGACTCTTCTATTTCTACCTCGATTATTGTCATTATTATATCATTACTTAGTACCATTACTACTGCCACTACTACTAGCATTACTGCTGCTGCTAAGTTCCAAGCTTTTGTTTTTTTTTTGTTTGTTTGGGCCGAGAGTCAGAGCGAAAGGCGAAAGGCGAAAAACGGAAGAGAAGAAAGAAGGCAGAGGGGAAAAAAAGAAGACCTTTCCGCTTTGAATGTCTCAACTTCTTTTTTTTTGTTCATCTTGACGATTATTAGCCGGAGTTCTGTCTTCTGTCTGGCATTTGATTCATTATCTGCTTTTGTTATTCCTTTTTTTTTTTCTTTTTGGTTGGGCGTTGTTGTTTCCCCGCATATCTACCTGTTTTTGTTGATACTTCTCTGTTTTTCTCCTTTTATCCTTTGAAGGCGTGTATATGGCGAGAAGGGCGAGGTGTTCAGGTTTTCTTCTCGTCATTTGACTCGACTTTTTTTTAACCTAAGGGTATGTATGCATGTCAATGCAATGCAATGTGGATTGAGCAAGCAAGAAAGCAAGCAAGCATTGTCAAATAAGTATCGATTTTCTTCAATTTCAATGAATGAATGTGAATGAATGGATGGATGTGAAGAGATGAGATGAATTCAATTGAAATCAAAAAATGAAAGGAGGGAAAGAAAAGAAAGAATGGAAGGGAAGGAGGAGGAGATGGTTAGTTATTTAGTTATTTAGTTAGCCTTACTGTACAGTACATATGTCTATGTCTATGTATAGTACTGTTGTTACCTGCATATGCAGACATATTTTTTCTTGTACATACAGTACAGTATGTACATTCCGCATGTACTCTGTGCATACAATCCTGAACATGTATGTACAGTAATACTAGTATAGTAGTAGTATATGCAATGCATACATGCATACATAATGATCGATTGAATCAACCACTTTTGAATAATGAGAAAAGGGGGAAAAAAAAGTAATCCAAAATCTACAGATGGATATATGCCAATTAGATGCACGTAAATAAATGGACGAAATAAACAAAATGCCACCCATATGCTTCAGTCAGGTCAGGCCAGGCTGACAAATCGACGCGATTAGGGGTATGTATGTACAGTATGTATGTACAGTACAACATTGACGACAGTAGATAGATCAGGTAAGATCAGATGGCAGGTGTAGATGCATGGTATGTGCTATTATTCGGGCAATAACAGAGCAAGATATATAACTCAGATGGCCGCCAGACGTTAGATCGCTCACTATCAAAGTCGAGATACGTCATTGTCGTCATTAACAGTGGCTTGTGGATTTCCGCCTCGTCCATCGATGCGGTCTTGTGGTTGCTGCTGTCCTTGTTCCAGGTCCTGATCTTCCTGCTCTGGGTTCCGCGCCCTGTACTGCGAGCCTAACCGCCCCAAGAATCGGTTCTGACGGATCGAAGACGAAAAGCTCGGTCGTCCTGTCGCATTGGAAGTCCGCGACTCGAACGACGAACGCCTGTCTGTCAGACCGCCGCGCACGCAAGGAGACGCCGTTGAGCTGGCACGCGATGCTGTCTCCTCTTCCCGCATCCGTCGCTCTGCGGCTTCTCGGTTGGCGTTCTGCACGGCTTCCGCGAGTCGCGACTGTTTTCTGTCATCGAACACATCGCCCATGATATCGTCCGATAAAACGCCCGACATGCCCAGAGAGAAGTCGACGTGCCGGTTGGGTCGGGAGACAGACTCGCCACGGGCCCGAGCCGCGGCGACAGTGGAGCCCTTGCGCAGGATCGAGTGCGACGCGCGGAGTCCAAGGCCGCTGCCACTGCTGACGGCTGAGTTTTCCGGCAGGCTGGTGCGCTCTTCGGGGATAGGAGTCGGCACAGTGTGCGGACGAGAAAGGTCGCTGTTGTCCGTGGTGGCAGCCGAGTAAGTGGGTGGCATGCCATGGTAGCTGACGTGGAACGGGAAATCGACATGCGAACCCTGGAGGTTCCGGCGTGGTCCCTCAATACCAAGCTCCATCATGGTGAGCATGAGCATACAGATGAATTTGTTGCGGCGTTGCAGCCGGAGCCCCTCGTTCTGCCAGTTGGATTTGTAAAAGAACACCACGTTCAAGGTGATCGAGTACGCTTCTGTGACGGTTCGCAGCTCGGTGAGAATGTTGGGCTGGTACTCGCGCTTTTCCGTCCGGACGAATTCGAGTAGTCGCTGACGAAGGGCCTCGATCTGTTCCATGGTGGTCCCGAATTTGATCACGATCGGTACCGCTTCCGCCAGTCCTCCCGAGCGGCGCTGGTTGAGAATGAAGAGCGTGTTGAGATAGCTGTTCGGGGCCTGAACGACGTGGCCTTGCATCTTCTTGAATTCCGTGTACAGGAGTGAGATCTCTTTGACGTAGTAGTCATCTCCCGTCAGATTATCACCTGTGTTTCCATAAATGGTAACCCGATCTCCGACGTCGAACGGATGCTTGACAAAGACAAAGACGACGGACTGGAGGAACTCTTGGGCCGTCGCCGAAAAGAGCCAGGAGAGCGCAAGAATGGTGGAGCCCGCCGACGTCAGGACGCCGGCCGCGGATGTCGAGATCAGCGAGAGGAAGACCAGTATGGTGATGACGAGGACGATGAAGAACAGGACATCATCCAGCTTGGAAACGACTGAGTCCAAGTCCTTCAGAGACGCCGTAATCGATTTCCGCTCGCGCCCAATTTCCACACATACAGCCTCCAGTTCTTCCATCGAGATGTCCCCGTTCATATCCTTGTCGAACATGGCGAACGCCGCATCTGCCTCCTCGTTGTTGTCGAACGCGGCCTTGAGATCACCGGAAAAGACTGTATCGAAGCCATCCCGGACGAAAGTGCGGTACAATCGGCGCGCCAGGACCTGGCTGCCAGATGTCGTGTTGAGCAGGGTAAGGACTACCTGGTATGGGTCGTTGCGCTTGGTGATCGTTCTTCCGGTAAAGTCACCGGCAACCGCACCGGCCACATCGCCGACCTTGTTCAGAGCGCTCCTGGCGACCCTGGTGGCGGCAGTGGCATACTGGCGAGGGGTTTTCGTCCCCGATTGGCGGCCATTTCCTTTTTCCTCGAATTCCTCGTCTTTCATCGAAATCTTCTGCCGTGAATACGCGTAGAGCTTGGTCAAACTGCCGATCTGAAATTTGTTGATCTCGATGCGGTCCGCATAAGTTCGTGTGTGGAAGCTGATGGCAATCAACTGGATGATGATCTTTTCGACCAGGTTGAGAATAGTCCCGACGAACACCGACACAATGATCTTGTTCACCGTCACCTCCCAGTCGCGGGTCGTACGATCGCCATCGACATGGTGATTTATCATGGTTGGCAGGAATGAAATCTCCACACCCAGCCACCAGAAAAAGAGCGTGGCCGGCAGCTCCAGCTGTTTACCCAAGTCCCGCCATTTCTTCGAGTTGTTGGTGAACAACGACATGATTATTCCCAACGGAGCCGGGATGCACTTGGCGACAATCTATGTTATCCCGAGTTAGCCAGTCCATCGATCAGAAATTATTATCTTTTGGAGGTGTCGCATACTCTTCCTGCCCACAGTGTCAACCAAACGATCTCCAGCCAGATCGAAAACCACAACAACTGAACCCCGCCCACGCTGGCATCCTTATACTTCAGCGCCCCGAGCAAGAGGGGAATGAGCAGAATCAAGACGACAGGGACAATATAAGTGAAGTAGCGGACTAGAAAGCTCGAGCTGTGGATTTTCTTCACAATCTTTGCCAAGCTCGTGCTTGGATTCTCAGGCGGTTTGTAGATGGCCGCCTTCTCGTGCAACGGATTGGTAGCCGCATCGAACTCATCGACCGGTTCCGACCGATGGGAGCGAGATTTATGCAAAGATGCCTTCTCGCTCTTCTCTTCGCTCCGCTGCGAGTTGGAGACCACGCGCTCCGCTTCCAGCACGGCCAAGTCGTCCTCCAGTCGCGTCGCATGTTCGCGAGCTCGAGATGGGGAAGGTTCAGGCCGCACTGATGGATCGGCGTGGGAGGTATCGACATTCAAGGTATTTCGGCCAGCCTCCGTGGTGTCATTGTGGACAGAGCTGTCTTCATCCAACGAGCGACGGGGGCCCTGATGTTCGACGTGATACGTGGGCTCGGGGATCTCTTCGATCGGAGTCGACATTCTGGCACCAGGCCAGTGAAGCACCCTCTCAATAATATGAGGATGAGAATCGCGCTGAACGGAACAGCAATTGGAATAGGAATATTTCCCCGGCCGTGTCCAATTGTAGGATCAAACTCTCCGAGGGTACAGTAGCGGCGATAGGCGACTCTCAGGTAGCGATAACGAAAGTGGCCAGTCTGCTGCTGGACTGCGGGTTCTGCTAAAGATTGACAGGCAAAAGAAAAGAAAAGTAGTGACAAAGACTGAAAACATCGCACGGGTACAAAAAGAGGGAAAGGAGTGCAAGCGCAGCAGCACTTCAAGTAGCTCGACGCTGGCTATTCTGCGCATCAAGCATCGTTGCTCGCTTCTGAGATCTCGACTCCGGAGGGGCCCCGTCTCCAAGCCGCCAGTGGCCAGAAGGCGGACCTAAGATCGGCAGCATGGCAAGGATAATCCTGGAGCTTTGGTCAAGACAGGCCCAAGTGGGGGAATCTGTCCGATTCCGAGGGCGTAAGGAGATAAAAATTGGCTGATTGGGAGCCTAGGCGGTGGACCGAACGGGCACCGTCGATGCACGTCTAAACTCTGAAGGATGTTGGATCCCTTTGCATGGAGAATTTTTTTTTCAACGTCTGGTTGACCTCCATCGGCAATTCCGTAGCCCAATCACTCTGTCCTCCACAAGCTCCGCCCGCATTCCAGGCTCCCTATCTTACCGTCTCGACTTGGGGTGCCCTGACCATTGCCGACGGGCCGACGGCATAACTATGAGAGAGTGTTTATGTAATAACGTTCTGCACAAACCTTCACTAAGCAATCAAGTGTTGATTTCTCTGATTGGATTGAAAGTTATAATCAGGTACCTACCTGGGTAGGTGTACGCCACCCCATGATTTGGCAATTATGACTCCCCTAAGTGTCTGTCACTGTCTGATGTCCTGCTTGTCTTCAGTGCTCTGCGGATGTTCCCGTTAGGGAAAGCCGTAGAGGTCGTTCCTTCCAAAATAAAAAGGAGTCATGCAGTCTCCTTCCTGATCCGTTATAATAATACTGTTTGTTAATCTTGGAAGGCGCGCCACGGGCCCAAGCCACCCGCGCGGTTGCCGCAAACATCTTCCAATCATTTCTCGTTATGCACTCATTTGGCTGAGCTGTATACACCAACTGATCTATATCTACTCAGTACAGTCCGCATGGAGGTGGAGAGATACAGAGGACATTTCTCCCTATTTCACCCCAGTAGCGTTACATGATACCATTATTCAAAGTACCTAAAGCTCAACTAGACAAGACAAACACGAGATTACAAGCGACATGAGTAGAAGACGGCATCTGCTGCATCCTTTGAATGTGCTTCAACATTATTCCCTTTATTATAATGGAAAGTAATTTTTTGGTGAAGAACCGCTTAAGCAGAGCAATTGCAGAAATCAGGTAAGTGTACTACATATTAGCAAAGGATATGGCAAGAACCATTATGGCAAGAATAAAACAAATGTATAGGCAGGAAGCCCACCTGGAGAGAAGAGAGTCCGGCGTCGACCAGGTATTTTCTCTCCAAACCAGTTTAGCGAAGTGCAGACTTGTAAGGCTTGTCGACGATAAAATCTCAAATGATTATGTAGGCATATACTGTCATTCCTATGCCTATATCTGAAACACCTTGGGTAAGAACATACCCCATTCGTGACTACCCGTCTACCTACCTACCAACTCTATCCTTATCGACTCGCGGGTATGGTTTCTCCACAGTCTCATTTATGACAAACTTGATCATGGTGAGCGTGAACACGAGCCTATTGAACGTGGGGAGGTGCATTCCTGTAAGCGTCGCGAAATTCTTCAACATCCTCTTCCAAATCGTCAGAAATTTTCATCACTTTCTTCTTCTGTCTTGTCGTCAGATACAGAGCTCGGAGACATAAATAAATAATCTTACTGCTATGTCCTCCTCCTCGTCCGGTCTGCGCCCTTCAGCTGTAAGGGCTTCCTAGGTCATCGATGTGCAGCCTATGGAAATGAACGGCGGTGGCAGCTCTCTCTTACAAGCTTGAATAGTCTGATTGAGGAATCGTTGGCGTCCCTGGATAAACATTACTGAGTGGAGGGGTCGCTCAGCGCAGTACTACGAGATGTAATTGAGATTAGGTGGGTAGAGGATCTGACGTTGCAGGGACAGGGGTGGAGGAGGTTATGCTTTAGTATTCTCTCTATATTTATTGAGGGCAAGGACTTTTTGAAGTTTATCTATCAATTCTCAGCGGGCATGCTAAACTGATATCCATCTATATCATCCAGACGATTCACCATCTTCCAACACAACATGCCTGACTACAAATGAGGACAGCCTGGAGTCGATGATCTGGTTCCCCACGTATAAATACTATGCGGACCTCTCATGGCATTGTGACGTCAATTCAGAGAATTGCCCCTGCAAACCTACTTCCACTATCAGGCTTCTCTGGCTGAATGGTTTGTCTGCATCCAACAGTTTCGCATCAGCATTGGCTTGGTATCTGATCGTCAGTTACCTGAATGGACAGAACATTGAAGAAAAGGAAGAGGATGACAACAAAAATGATGCTGAATATGAAGCTGAAATACTGACCGAGGCTAGTACCGTTCGTGACGATGGTGACACAGCAAAGGAATGGGTGAGGACAACATTGGGTGAGGACAATATTAGAATGACAGCATTGAAACGAAAATTCGGGCGCAAATTTCCTAGATGGATCAAAGTCTGCGCGGCCGACATCTCCACCCAGTTCGGTGACTTGTATGATCCCCTGTTGGAGAAGATATTTGCCAGTTGCAATTTTCAAGATCGGGTGTGCTCCCCCTAAATGTCGTCAGGTTTACTTGCCATTATCAGTCGGAGTTCAATACCTCTTGTAAGTTTTCAAATGTGTTGGTAGTTATCTATAGAACTCGATATTTGCTTGCTTCTCTATTTATTATATTTATTTGTTAGAATTTTGCCAAAATAATCGTGCAACCAGTATATCACTTGGGATGATCTTCTTGGGAGATTACTTTCTCTCGATGCGATTCATTCGCAAGCTATATTTCGAGAATCAAGTCAACGATTTAACGTAGATCTTTTCAGATATCCGAATCTATTCCCCTGTGGCTATCTAAAGGAAGCATTTCTTCAAACACTGATAAAATTAATTCTATTTAAATACTTTCCCCCCCTATCCGAGAAGAGCAGAGTAAGTTCGATAGAAAGACTCCTATCGTATAGTATTACGTTGTCTGTATCGAACAGGAAGAACTTCGAAGAGATGCCCTGATGAATAAAGAAAGGAATGAAAGATGCAAACCAGACGAAATTGTCCATAAACTCTCATCTCAACATTCCATCGCTCATGCTGAGGGAAGTACTCCCTCAAATTCCACTCAGGAAACAAGATATAATTATCCTAGCTTTTTTTCTAATCAAACCTACATCCAAAGTTTTATACTGGGTAGAAGAAGTTGCCAAATTGTAGGGCATAAACCTGCTGAAAATTCATAAGGTAGGCCCAAATAAGAGAGGACTAACAATATAGACTAGAGTAAATATTAAAAGGACCAACTCTCTCTCAATCTCTAAAATTCGTCAAGGACAAGACAGGCGATATATAACGGTAAGGAGGACACGACCGCCGTAGTGACCCATTTCTCCTTCATGGACCAGTTTTTGGATTTGTCTATGTCACCTTCATATCGTAACTTTTTTTTGTCAATATTGCTGTCTCTACTTAAAAAGAAGGAAGAGAAAAAAGGTTCCATATAATTTGTATCAAGTTTGGGTCGTCACTCTTTTCTCCAGGTTCTTCCACTTCAGAATAACTCTGCCTTTCTATATCGACACCCAATGATCTATCTACCGTTCTTTGCTGTTGCAATCTCACAGATCTTCTGGATTGTGGATTCTCTCATGAGAGCCAAACAAATTTCGTATGCTCTTGTTTGGAGCCCTGCTAGCATGTACTGTACACTAAAACTGATAAATAATATATTTGAGCAAATAGAATGTGAATACGTCGTACTCGTCGTCCCGTGGAGGCTTTTCAGGCCTTCTCGCTGGGCTTTGGAGCATAGGGTCAAGCTAAGACATGCCTAGGTAACGTGACTTATCAGATAGAAAAAAAAACTAATGAAAATGCCTACCTACGATTAGATAAATCCGTCCTAGTATAGATAGAAATTCATTTGACTGTCTCTCTCTGCATGTCTCATTACAAACTTGAGACAAGTGAGAATTTCGAAAGTCAAAAGACGAGAAAAAAAATGTCGAGTCGTTTCGAATGCTAAGATAGTAAATCAAATGATGGGAGTCACCTGCACGTGATCTAGTTTCCTAACTGGCTGGATCGCGAAGAATAAACGAAGAGATGGGAAGAAGCTACAACGGGCAGATAGCAGCAGGACAACTGTCCTATTTCACATTTCACATCAGCACTGGATTTGCATTAGATACTCAACAGCAGTTATGCAGTCCCATACGGCTAGATTCAATCTTGAATGACTAGCATCTTCAAATGCAAGCAATGGGTGAATAGTACTGAATATCTGCTGCAGTCGTCTTGTAAAGCCAGTCCTCTCGATGGGCCGTGCCATGTGGTCCATGCCTCGTAGACCGGTTGCTAGTTGAGGTAGTCTGAAGAGGCGGTTAGCTGGTCGCCTGTCGCCAACACACCGCAGGGACCATCGCGAATCCACCGGCACCTGCTTTGTCAGCGCACAAAAAGCCCCCGCACTCGGGAGCCCAGCCATTCAAGCAGCGACCACACGCAGCAGGAAATAAGAACAAGAATAAAAGACTGCAGAATTGACTCGTATCTGCATATTAATCACATTCACTTTCTTCTCTGGCGCAGTCGGGCGTGCCTGAGGCGATCCGCGGACAGAGCGACTGCACACTGGTCCAGGGGCACGGGGGCGCGCGCTGATTGGCTGCGGCAGAAAGAGCAGCTGGGCCTGCCAACTCGCGCGCCCAGACGGGTTAGCGCCCTCCACCGCGCTACCACGCCCGGCCGCCAGCGTTCGTCCCCTCCGCGTGTGGGATCTTCGACCTCTTCTTTCTCCCAGCGCCCAGTGTCCACCCTCCTTTCCACCTGTCCGCCCGGGTCTGCCTGTATTTCGTGTCAGGCTGCTCTCTCAACATCTGTCTTGCTTCGATTTCTGCTTCCCAACGTCCTGTGCTGATCCTTCAACATGAGAGGCGAGGTACGCGCCCGGCTCGCTCTTTATTTACTCCCCGCCCGTTCTTGTTTTCCCCTGAATCCCACCACACCGCGCGCCCTGCCTGACCGCTGAGGCCGTCGGCCACAACGCTGCTTCTGTCCCTCGTCTGGCCCATTAGCTGACATGTTTTGTTCAGGTCTGCCACCTTCACATCGGCCAGGCTGGTACCCAGCTGGGTAACAGCGCCTGGGAGCTGTATGTCCTCACCGCTTTTCTCTTTTGCTGCCTCCTCCGAATTGATACTGAGCCCGTCTCATCATAGGTACTTGCTGGAGCACGGCCTCAAGGCAGACGGTCGTATCGACCCCGATGCCACCGACATTGGCGAGCCCGGCTCCTACGAGACTTTCTTCACCGAGACTGCCAGCGGCAAATATGTGCCCCGCTCTATCTTCGTCGATCTCGACCCCTCGGTGCGTACTGTGCATGGACGCCGAAAGAGCAAGGAGGAACCACGTCGCTGACTACCGTAGCCCATTGATGAGATCCGCACCGGTACCTACCGCCAGCTCTTCCACCCGGAGATGCTGATCAGCGGCAAGGAGGATGCTGCCAACAACTGTATGAAGCAAACCGCCAAGGACTGGTCTGAAGCAATGCTGATGGGATATAGATGCTCGTGGTCACTACACCATCGGAAAGGAGCTGGTCGACACTGTCATTGACCGCATTCGTCGTGTCGCTGGTATGTCAAGTCATCATCCTGTCATGAGGAATTTTTCGCTAATGAAGGTCTAGACAACTGCTCCTCTCTCCAAGGTTTCCTGATCTTCCACTCCTTCGGTGGTGGTACTGGTTCTGGTTTCGGTGCGCTCCTGCTTGAGCGTCTGTCGACCGACTATGGCAAGAAGTCCAAGCTCGAGTTCTCCGTCTACCCGGCGCCTCGTGTTTCGACCGCGGTTGTTGAGCCCTACAACGCCGTCCTGTCGACGCACAGCACCATTGAGAACTCTGACTGCACCTTCCTGGTTGACAACGAGGCCGTGTACGACATCTGCCGTCGCAACCTCGACATTCCTCGTCCCAGCTACGAGCACCTGAACCGCCTGATCGCCCAGGTCGTCAGCTCGATCACCTCGAGTCTCCGATTTGACGGTGCCCTGAACGTTGATCTGAACGAATTCCAGACCAACCTGGTCCCGTACCCGCGTATCCACTACCCCTTGATCTCTTACGCCCCAGTTGTTTCCAGCAACCGGAGCTCGCACGAGAGCTTCAAGGTTCACGACCTGACCTACCAGTGTACGTATTCCTAATGCCCTATACTCCGCGACGTACCTAACTCGTTCTTCTAGGCTTTGAGCCCAACAACCAGATGGTTGTTTGCGATCCTCGCAACGGCAAGTACATGGCGGTGGCTCTCCTCTACCGTGGAGACGTCGTTCCTCGTGACTGCACTGCTGCCGTCGCCTCCGTCAAGGCCAAGGCCTCCTTCAACCTGGTCGAGTGGTGCCCGACTGGTTTCAAGCTTGGTATCAACTACCAGAAGCCAGTGCGCGTTCCTGGCGGCGAGCTCGCTCCCGTCGACCGCTCCGTCAGCATGCTGTCCAACACCACCGCCATTGCCGAGGCGTGGAGCCGCCTGGACCACAAGTTCGACCTCATGTACTCGAAACGCGCTTTCGTGCACTGGTACGTCGGCGAAGGTATGGAGGAGGGTGAGTTCTCTGAGGCTCGTGAGGACCTTGCTGCGCTCGAGAAGGACTATGAGGAGGTTGCCAGCGACAGTATCGAGGCGGAGGGCGAGGAGGGTGCTGAATACTAAGAAACGACCGACTCTTAATCGATGTGATTCCACCTGTCTAGTTTTCTCTGTCCCATATTGTCCCCCCTCGGAGTCTGGTCCCTTGACAGACTCGTATATTCCGCACATATCTCACCCTTCTCTCTTTTGTGCTTCTTGAGACAACCCCCTTTGTTACTACCCAATAAGCGATTGTTGGTTTCTTTTTTTTACCCGAAATACAGCTTTGATGACAGATTGAACAAAGACAATTATTAGTCGAGTTTGATTAATAAAAAAAAGGAAAAAGAGCATAAATTGTCTTATTATTCGATCCTTCCTGTTCGCTAGGATTAATAATAAATTAATAATAAGTTCCCATCGCTGGGATAATGACTCTATATCAAAATAGAAAAAAAAAACGCAAATAACCCTATCTAACGCCACAGATCCCCCTGTCTACTCCGTAGTCTATTCCAGTCTATTTGCCGAGTTCCAACTCCCGCAAGATCTTGAGAGCCCTCTCATACGTCCACATAGTCACGGCGCTGGCCGGTGCTGCTTTGACTAAACTGACGGTCAGACCCCGATACAGCCCACGCATTCCTTGTGCTTGTAAGATGGTCACTATCGTCCGTAAGACCCCATGGTACTCGGGGATGTTCGTGTGCACGTATCGCGATCGGGTCGGGCCTTGAACCTGCAGACGCTTCCGCACCAGGTCCAGCGGGAAGACGCCGGTCTTGGACAGCACGCTGGCTACCATACCCGCGACTGCATCGCCCGAGCCGAATGGGAGATTGTCGAACTGGCCCAGGGGCACGCGGAGCGTCTCGTACGTCGCGAAGAAGAGGCCCATGTAGGGCACGATCTGGGTGACGGCGGCAGAGCAGCCGCGGAAGAAACCCGTGGGCCCTTCCTGCTTGGCGATGTCCCGGATAGACGACAGCAAGGACGCGTAGATCCTATCGTTCCCCTGGGCGGCGAAGCGAGTGCGGAGGAGGTCGAACGGGTATGTGGCAGCTGTAGCGATGCCGCCTGCCACCGCGCCCGAGACGAAGGATTCCACCAACGGAGGAAGACGGTGCGGCAGACGCGAAAGGGCCTGGGTCGTAGTGCGATAGGTCACGAATTGGGCGCCGCCGTAGCAGACATAAAGGAGTTCGGCGGAGATGTTCCCTTTCCAAAGTGCCTGTCGTTTTGCGATTATGACGAGTCAACATTCCATGCTTCCCCTCCCTGCGGGCAGGAAAAGTAGCAACTCCTAACAACACATACCGTGAGACCTTCCTCCCGAACGATGGCCCTCATTGTCCGGAGCGTCCCCTTATAGATCGGGCCTTTGATTCCATGGTGCGAGGTCGGATCTGAAAGCGAGTGGATCTGCAGCTGTAGTCGGATCTTCACGACGTCAAGAGGCGCAATGCAGAAACTGTTGCGAGTCGATTCTTTCCGTCAGCATCGCCAATTGCGAAACAATTATAAGGGGGAGAGGAGACGGATAATGATCATACCGCGAGACAAGGCCAGCTATGCCTCCAGCGATGACGACCTGCGTCCTCGTGCCCTGGGAAGTAGTTCGTCAGCTCTGTCAAATCATCTGGTTTGGAAGCGCTGATGTTAGCTGAGACGTACTTCATCTTTTAGGCGCTCACCCCCGGCCGACATACATATGGTGGCTTTTGCGTCGATAGCTGAATTGATTTATCGCATTGGACAGTACTGGCAAAAAAAGGAGCGTAGTGGTGCGAAAGAGAAGGGAGCTGGAATGTTGGGGCGACAGTGAGAGGTTTTCCGATCGGTTTACTCCGTACACTGTCTCCTACCCAATTGGTGACGTCGTGTATTATATTTGGTATCGGGTGTGTAATAGCCGCGTAATATTCCCTTGAGCACTGCGTTCTTGTTCAAATTAGCGGCGGTTTCTATTTGTGATAATTGGCTAGACTTCTTACCGCTCGCATTTTTATTGGCCAGATTTGCAGACGTGTTTTAGTTTTGCCGCTTTTTACCAAAGCGGTAAGATTTGGACCAATGATATCTAGTAGATTCCACGCGCCCTAATTTCAGCAGACTCGGCGCTCCAAGGGGATATTTCCGTGTCACGAGGAGCTCGAGAGCTCCGCAAAGCCGTTCGTCCTTCAATATAATATTTTCCTTCCCTCATCACAATTGCTGGTCAATTAGTGAAAATGACTACAATGTTTCGGCCTCTGGGACTGCTTCTTCGCTCCCAACGGAGAGCTCTCCCTCGAACTCTCCCTGGTCGCCGCGGCTACGCTGTTGACAACTCGCAACCAGTGTCCACGCCCCAATCTGAGGGCAATCAGGACAGCAACAACGCAACGCCTTCCGATTCCCCGAACACAGCAGGTGGTCTAGCCCAACGCGTTTCCTACTCTGCTCCTAGCTAATTATCTACTTCAGAATCCACTGGCAATTTCCGCCGGATCGGGCCTCATCTGGTCGAAGTCACTGTGCCAGAGACTTCGAAGCACGGAAATCCTGTACGCATAAAGCTTGACTATCTGAAACTGCGTGATGCTTGTACCTGCCCGCGCTGTGTCGATCCACACTCGAAACAACGCAATTTCCGGTTCAGCGATATTCCTCGGAATATAAGCCCGCGTAGCATCCAGTGGAAGGAGAGAGAACTCGTGGTGGAATGGAAAACTGATATCAACGGATTTGACCGGTCGCACGTCTCCACCTACGATGCGGACTCCCTCCATCGCTTATCCTGGACCCCCGGCTCGACCAGACATAAAAGGCACCGGTTTTTCTGGACCCGGAGCGTCATGGAGAGGCTTCAACACTGGATCACGTACGATGAGTGGATGAACGATGACACCAAATTTGCAAGAGCCATGGGTGTTCTGGAAAGGCTCGGCATCATCTTTGTCAAGGACATCCCCGACTCTCGAGAAATGGTGGAGAAGATCGCAACGCGGATGGGACCTCTACGGAACACTTTCTACGGCATGACGTGGGACGTGAAGAGTGTCCCTGAAGCCAAGAATGTGGCCTACACGAACCAGAACCTGGGTTTCCACATGGATTTGATGTACATGAAGGAGCCTCCGGGTTACCAGTTGCTGCACTGTTTGAAGAACTCATGCGAGGGAGGTGAATCTCTCTTCGTGGATACCTTCAACGCCGCCACCAAAATCCCCACCCACTACTTGGAGCTTCTGACGGAATTGAAACTGAATTACCATTATGAGCATGAGGATCAGATCTATGTCAATCAATGGCCAGTTGTCGAAGCTCGAAAGCGCGAAGAGAATGGCCAAACACAATGGGTCATTGAGCACGTCAACTATTCGCCGCCGTTCCAGGCCCCTTTCAAGGTCTCTAACTCCCCGTTCTTGGCTCGGCGGCTTCGCGAATACCAGAGAGCTCTCTCCGCGTTTGCCAGTGCGATGGAAAAAGAGCATCGGATCTTCGAACTGAAGCTGAACCCGGGAGAGTGTGTCATCTTCGAGAACCGGCGTGTCGCGCACGCCCGGCGGGCGTTCAACACTACGACCGGTGAGCGATGGCTGGCTGGCGCATACGTTGATGAAGATGCCGTCTTGTCGCGGTTTAGAGTGCTCGACCGTGACTACCCTGAGTGGTCTAGAGTAAATCTTGTCGAATTCTTGGGACACAACAAACAGCAGGCACAAACAGAGCAGACGGAGCGGACGGAGCAGGCACAGCAGGCACAGCAGACGGAGCAGGCGCAGCAAACAGAGCAGACGCAGCAAACAGAGCAGACGCAGCAGACACAGCAGACACCCTGATGTCTGACACTGGATGTCTACGACGATATCGATGACTGTACGAAAACGAATGTATATCTTTGCTTTAGATACTCCCAGATCTTCTCTTTCCTAAGTGAAAATTGCATTCATTTCTTTTCTCGGGCGAGATGAGGCCAGTAGCAGACAGGTTGACAGCCCACGTAACCACTTTGTTGTTCAAGGAATCACATTCCACCTGTGCAACGTTATACAACACATGTGTTCCATTTTCTCACACAGTCAGCATTGTACTGTACAGTACGATTCAAATTTTGACTGGCTGGTCGTTCCACACGCCCCAAAAAAGGAACGACCTTCTTCACTCCTACTTTCTTGGATTTTGTGTATAAATAATGAGAAAATGATTTCATTGATCTGGGAGTCCTGATTTCCTTTTCTTTTTTTTCTATTCAAAGCTTAGCGTACAGACGACAGTCGTGACACAACGTACGGAGTAAAAGGGGGGGGAAGCGTGAAATTACGATAACTATCGCTCGAGAAGTATATTTAACGGACAGGGAGGAAAGGCAGAAAAGTTCTTCGCAGGCGGTCATTCATAAGTGAGTAAAAAACAAGAGACAATCGTCGTAAGGTATCTAGCGTGCAGGAAGCATTTCATTTCCATCATATGATGAGGTTATTGGTTCAGGCAGCAGCAGCCGAGGACTGGACGGTAAATTCCTTGAGGAAATCGGGATTGGAGCTGAGTTCTTCCTTGACCTGAATATCAACCTGAGTCAGTTTGACGAATACTAAAAAAAAGAACATCAAGGGTATATATATGTGTGTAAACGTACAATATCAAGTCCTCCAACCAATTCACCCTTAACCCACAATTGCGGGTACGTCGGCCAGTCCGCAAATTCCTTCAGACCCTGTCGGACATCCTCGTCGGCGAGGATGTTGAAGAAGCCGTACTTGACGCCGTGCTCGCGGAGGATGCTAACCATTTGCCGGCTGAAACCGCACTGGGGCGCGCTGGGCGTGCCCTTCATGAAGAGCATGACAGGCGCGGCCTTGACGAGTTCCGACAGACGCTTGAAGAGCGCCTCCTTGCTCTGCTCGGGGGTTTCTGCGGCAGGAGCAGTAGCAGTAGTGGTGGCGGTGGTGGTAGCTCCGTTCGTTGTCTCTCCTGCTGGCGCCTCCGTCGCAGCACCGGAGGTCGTCGTTTCTCGAGGAACGGCGTTCAGAGCCGGGGGAATAGAGGCCTTGGTGCCGCTGGCGGCGTCCGCGCCGCTTCGACCGGCATGACGCTCGACGGCGTCACGCACCTTGGCTGCGTCGCTCCCGCTGATGGACTCCAGCACCTTCTTGTCGCGGATCAGGACCACAAACGGGACGGCCGTGACATCGTATTCCTCCGAGATGTCGGGAAGTTCTTCAGCGTTGATGCTCACGAACGAGACCGTCGGCGGGGACGTGACGGGGAACTGGGCGGCAAGGGTGGAAAGGACGGTGCGCATCTGCGCACATGGTGCCGCCCAGGGGGTATGGAAATTAATAACGAGGAGGGTAGAGGAGGGTAGAGACTCCAGGTGCGACTTGAATTCGGCTTCGGAGGTGATCTCGTTGAGGGTCGACATGGTGATAGTGGCGGCGGAGAAGCAGTATAGCGGGGGGGAGAGAGGAAGACGAGGGGGTGAAAAAAAGCTCCGAAGGTAACGGGTCTTAGCTCTGTTCTGGTTTATGGAGTCTTGTCTCGCTCAAAAAATCCAAAAGGACAATTATTTCGCGACGAATCTGATCTCCCGAAGGCCCAAAATACCGGGTGGAATTGGGAGAAAAGCCAATGCTGGAGTCGACGATATCTTCGCAGCTTTTGTCCTCCGTGTACGGAGTATCGGCTGCGGGAAGCATGCCGGAGTCCGGAAAAGCTTTAATACGACGGTGACGCCATCGCGGTGGCCCGATTCTCAAGGGTCCTCCTGCCACTTGCATAGGACGATGCGGTCCTAGTAGCTGGGGAATCATTCATTTGCAAGCTTGGACTTGTGATTACTATTATTTTATTAGTGATCATTTATTGGAGAGACAATAATGCAGCGATCCAGAGTGGCAGTACCTTGAATACATCAGTGGATGCAGTACAGTACTGCTGAGGCTTGTCGATATTGACCATGGTACTCTGGTATTCAGCTGATAAACATCATCTAATCAATCCAGTAAGATCTGATTAATGTTCCAGTGGAACGCAGATGAATCAAGCCAGTTTTTTTAAACAAAATTTAGGTTGGTTGGTGGCTGCATTGCAGCTTGCGCGGTGTATTAATGGGTATTTACTCGTACCGTCCTGTATGGGAGAGTGGGCCGGCAGCCAATCGGGTAGCGTGTCACGTGACATATGAAATCCAGTTTGCCGTCCGCGACTGAATTCTTATCCTTGCCTAGCATCACGACTAAAATCAAGTGCTACAGAACGACTGATCCAGTCGTAGAAATGGATGCCCAGCAGTCACTCATCTAGAAGACTAGCTGCGGACAGAAACCAAGCTACGAGAATACTTGCTGGCTTCTGCCAGTCATGCCTTTCGGCAAGAAACGCAAGCGCAGAGCCTCTGACAGGTCTGATGACGATAATCCGATAAGAGACTCCACTGCCACCGCGAGTGGCTTCGGAGTAGCTCATACTTTATCGCTCATTCAGGGTTCTAATACCTCTGCACCGGCGTCAGCTCCCCCAGAGTCGTGCCCAGCGACCGCGGTGGCTGAGTCGGAGAAAGAGGCCTCTGCCGAATTGAAATCAGTTGAGAAGAACGGTGTGGTGAAGAAAAAGAGGAGGGGTGCTGATGGCGAGAGGATCAAATACCCCAGTTTGACCTATGTCGAGGGTCGTCTGCAGTCGTCTATTCGGATATCTGATCTTCAGGGATTGCTGCTCTATTGCTTTTCGGATGGTATCGCGCCACAATGGATCTCGATAAAGCACTCCGGCCACGTCCGCAAGATCGTGGTCTTAATGGTCCCTGGTTTGGAGCTGGGCATGTTTGATGGCTCGGTACCACTAGAGGACAAGCCAGTCAGTGCGGATCAGGGAGAGTCTGCAGACTCAAAAGCTGCCGGAGAAAATCAAACAGAATCCAATATGGATGATTTCACGCGATGGAAGCAAGGTCTTCCCCCTGCCGACAAATCTAAGCGATTCAACCCACGCCCTCTGTCACGAGAGAATCTCCCTGAACCGCTCCAGCCCATGGCGGACATGTTTCCCCATATCTGGCCTGTGAAAGCACCGGGTGACTCGAAATACAACAAGATTCATTCACCTCTGCAGGCAATACTGCTATCTGCCTTACCGAAGTCCAAGGAACACGAGAATCAGAAGGGACCTAAGCCGCCGAGAGTCGACAAGAACTGGGTGCCGAAACGCACACCCGTCACGACCTTTATTAGTTCAGTTGAGGCACTCCGTGAGAATGACTATGTGCTCCATCCTGCTTTTTTTGAAACCGAAAAAGAGCGGCAGGCAGAGGCAGCAATCCGCCAGCGGTTAGGTCAAACTGCAGAAGAGGGATGGGTTGACACCCACGTCCAGTCGCTCTCAGAGGGTGACGTTCCCGATTCAGAGATCCAGCAGGGCAGCATGACCGCCGGACGGGACGTGCTGGCGCTGGACTGTGAAATGTGCATCACTGAGGGTGGCAAGTCTGAGCTGACACGGATCAGTCTCGTGAGTTGGGATGGAGAGGTGGTGATGGATGAGCTTGTGAAACCAGAACGACCGGTGATCGACTATCTAACGCGATTTTCCGGTATCACCAAGGAGAAACTGGATCCTGTGACCACGACCCTTGCTGATATTCAAAAGAAACTCCTTGAGATCCTGACTCCTCGAACTATACTAGTCGGACATTCTCTCAACTCCGACCTGAACGCTCTCAAGCTCACTCACCCGTTCATCATTGACACAGCTATCATCTACCCTCACCCGCGCGGACCGCCTCTCAAATGCAGTCTGAAATGGCTGACGCAGAAATACCTGGGAAAGGAGATCCAGAAAGGCCAGACGGGCCATGACTCCGTCGAGGATGCGCGCGCTGTCCTCGAGCTGGTCAAACAAAAATGCGAGAAAGGCGAGCTCTGGGGCACGAGTGACGCATCGAACGAGAGCATCTTTCGGCGATTAAGCCGGTCTGTCAAAGCTGGAACGACCGAAGGGCGTACCGGCGCTGTCGTTGACTGGGGCAGTCCTGAGCGAGGGTATGGATCCCAGGCGACCGTTGCCATCGGATGCAATAACGATGAGGAGGTCGTCAAGGGCATCGAGAGGGCCGTCTGTGGTGATGAGTCCGATCCCCGCATCCCGAAAGGGGGCGTGGATTTCGTCTGGGCCCGACTTCGAGAGCTCGAAGTGCTCCGTGGCTGGTGCAATCGGCGTCCGGATCCGAACAACGCCAACGAATCGACGACGTTCATTCCTCCGCCGGAAGAGACCATCTTGAACGCATCGGCAAGCACTGATCCATCTGCATCGACATTTACCCCTCCTTCCACATCCACCCTCGCGGCGACAGTGTCCAAGACCGTATCCGACATCGCTAAGATCTACGAGTCCTTACCGCCCTGCACGATCTTCATCGTGTACTCCGGCACGGGCGACCCGCGCGAAGTCAGCCGGCTGCAAGCAATGCACAAGATCTACCGAGCCGAGTTCAACTCCCGCAAACCGTGGGACGAGTTGACTGTGAAATGGACAGACCGGGAGGAGCAAGCGCTCAAGCGAGCGTGCGAAAAGGCGAGGGAAGGCTGTGGGTTCTTGTGCGTGAAGTAAACAACTGAGTTATGTGATACACCAGAAGTTTCTTCTTTGTTTTTATTTCTTTATTTCTCTTATCGTTTATTCCGTGGCGAGTGTAAGTATTATTACCCAAGCTGAAGTGGAGACATCATTATTGATTGCAGGGTGATATGATACTGTATGGCATGGCTTAGAGCATAGTATGATACCAATGTACTACACTGTCTGTCTGTCTGTCTGTCTGTCTGTATAGAATAATAATTTAAAAAAAAGAACTCTGCTATAAAATTCATACACGTTCCTACTCTGTGTATTGTGTCTTTCGACGTCCCCCCCCCCCCCCGTGATGTATCCGCGCACAACCTTTCTTTTCTGGAGTTTCCAAATTCAGGTAAGGAAGGATATATACGTACGGTGCAGTATAACAGATCTTTATTTAGATACCTTGGTTAACAAGTTACTCTATTCGATGGAACCCAAGAAAAGACTGTGCTTAGCAAGTAAAAAATCCTCGCATATTACATATTACATTCATTTTCCCTTTTTTCCTGAATCTAATTTACACATCTGATATAGTACAGTTGATATGTTCTCAATGAACTGTTTTATCTATCTATCTATTTTTTTTCCATCTACCCGTCAGTCGCCATCGCTTCTTCTCGCTCCATTGCCATCTTAGCCAGGACGTCTCTGGCGGCGACTTGGGATTTGCGCGTGTTGGAAGAAGAGACTTGATCGGGGGCTGAAACTGCATTCTCATTACTGTTCTCTTTTTCGGATGAATTTGAATTCTGGGGGATATCCGGAGGTTGAACCGTGAACGCTGCTTCAGCTGTGGCGACAGAGTCGGCATTTGCTTCGTTTGCTTCGATGTCTTTAAGTGGTGTAGTGTTCTTGTCTTGGGCTTTCTGGGCTGATCTGGTGACGATCGGGGAGGCTGATGGCGCTCTGGATGGGGCCTTGGATGCAGCCCTGGATGGAGCCCTGGATCTTGCTCGTCTGCCTCGGCTCCGTGTTTGAGGCCCTCCAGAGTCTGCGGTGTCATCTTCGTGGTTGGCGACAGCTTCTTCTCTCTGTGTGCCGGAACTAACGTCGGCCTCCTGTTCAGACAACATTACTGCTGGTACGGGGGTCTGCGGCTCGTCAGATGGCTGTGTCTGACCCGTAGACTTTCGCCAGCCCTTAGGCCTCCCTGGTTTCTTTTTCTCTTTTCCTGCACTACCAGGGCTCTCGATATTCTCTGCAGTACTCAGCCGTGGGCGTTTATTGGCAGGCTCTCCGGTTTCACTTCGACCTCCTGTCACCAGGTCAGAACCGGAACCATCTCCGTTCTGCGCCCACGACGCGATTTCATTCTGTAGCTGCCGAAAACTGGCAGCAGCAGTATCGTCTGCTGGCTTCAAGGGAACCTTGACGGGAGGCAGCGCAGACTCTTCCAACGCCACGTGGTTCACAGTTTCATTGTCACCATCATCGTCGAACGAGTCCGCGATCTGCTGGTGGTGGTTATCCGTGAGCGTTCCGGGCCACGAACGCTTCCCATTCTCATTTAGAAGACCAGGACTGCGAACTTCAGACATGGCTCTATTGTCCAAACGATGGGGCATAGGCGGAGATGCTGCCATATTTCGTTCCTCCAAATACTTGTTCTTCAACTTCAATGACTCGTTTTCCAGTCTCAGCTTTTCGATTTCGTCTGCTTTGGCTTTAAGCTCTTTCAGCACAGTCCTGACCATGTCCAGACCCCCGTCCATCTTGTCGATATCCTGTATACGATTTCCGGGTGCGTTCAATTCGATCCGCAAAGCTGTAAAGGCTTGTTTTAGTTCGGCCATGGTATCGTGCAGCTCGTCGACGGAGCTTGAGATTCGATTAATGCTCACTCCCTGACTCTGTATCTGTTGCTGGACAGAGGTAGCGCGAAGAGCGCTATCAGATTGATCTGAGGTGGCTGACGGGTCAGCTCTTGAGGTGGACTCGGGTTCCGTGGGAGCTCTGTGCTGTGGGAAGAGAGTAGGTAGTGCGCCTTCCTTGAAAACCGGTTGAGTCTCCCTCATAGATATGATCTCTCGAAAAGAGACTTTAGACAGTTTCCAGAAGATCTTGACTCTGTATGTGCGGTTCAGCAAACCAAGCGAATGTAGAGATGGCGATTTGCGACCTACCCATTCTCCAAGTGGGCGAGAGCTCCGAGCTTCTGGTGACAGAGCCTGCACATAATCTCCTGCACAATGCAGCCCCGTACGAAGCTGAGTTCGGACGACTGAGGGATCTGTTTCTTCTCCGAAGATATATTAATCCTATTCAGGTCAACGCTGAGCCACCCCGCAACGGTCGAGTACGTGTTCGACAGCTTCGCCCACTCATTTTCACAGGCGGCTAGCGAGCTGGAGCAGCGCGAACACTGGCACAGGATTGATGGGCGTGTCAAGTGTGAGAGATCCATCATCATTAGGTCTCCTGGCCCTTTTCTGCTGACTGCTCGAAAATGAAGGTCGTCAGCAGAACTGGCAGCGACAACAGCAGCGTCAATCACGTGTGGAGTTGCTGCCCAGCAACTTGCGCGGCTGACTAAGACGCGATCCGCGCGTCTTTCCTATCGGAGAATTCTTATCGATCATGGAAGCCCCGACGTCCTGCCAAATTAAGTTGCGTGTTCCCCGCAGTAAGCGCCCTAATCATAATTACTCTGAATTAATCACGACTCAATCGAGGGATGTCTAAATATTCTCCATGAAAAGTGCTCTCTCAATCGCTCGCCGATTACCGCTGTCAAGTCTCTCTATTGCTAGCAGGAGAAGAAATCCCTTTCGAACCTTCACCATGGCGTCGAACGTTCAGAACTCCGCCGATGAAGCCAATGGCCAGACCAAGACCACCCCGTGGCATGGGTTAGGGGCGGCTGAATTCGATCTGCGAAGTGAGCACAGAATTGACATACGAAGAGTCCAGTCCTGGGACCGCTGACCGTCGCATGATTAGGCGATACCATGACTAAGCCAACGTTATCCATGCTGGAGGCAATCACCCACACCACCCTGCTGGACGACGTGTTTGGCGAAGACCCTACCACGAATTCCCTCCAAGATTACGTAGCACAACGAACCGGGCACGAGAGCGGCTTGCTGGTCATGTCTGGTACGATGGGCAATCAGGTTGCGATCCGAACGCACCTAACACAGCCCCCGTATTCGATCCTCTGCGACCACCGGTCACACATAATCCAATATGAAGCTGGTGGGGTTAGTATGTGGACAGGAGCAACAGTCTACGGCGTTGTTCCTAAGAATGGGCGTTACCTCACGCTGGAAGATCTGCAGGCAAAATTCGTGCCTGGAACCAACATCCACTACTGTCCTACCAAATTGATCAGCCTGGAGAACACACTTGATGGGATGGTGATGCCATTGAGTGAGACTCGGAGAATCGTAGAATGGGCACACGCCAACAACATCAAGGTCCACCTGGACGGAGCAAGGTTGTGGGAAGCAGTGGTTTCAGGTGCAGGCAGTTTATCGGACTACGCCAGCCTCTTCGACAGCGTCAGTCTATGTTTCTCTAAAGGTCTAGGGGCACCAATTGGCAGCATTATCGTTGGTTCAAAGGAGTTCATTGACCGAGCACGTTGGTTCCGCAAGTCCATTGGAGGTGGTACTCGTCAAGCTGGTATTATTTCTGCTGCTGCCAGGGTTGCCGTGGAGGAGACGTTCGGGCCGGATCCCAACGGGCAGGGAGGCAAGCTCAAGAACACCCATGTGAAGGCGAAGGAGGTCGCAGAGATGTGGACCTCTCGGGGCGGCAAGCTGACGTACCCAGTCGAGACAAATATGGTATGGCTGGATCTTGAAGCCGCAGGGTTGGGCCCAAATGATTTGGCGGAAATTGGAAAGGAGAAAGGATTACAACTGCTGGGCGGGAGACTCGTCATTCACTACCGTAAGTGCTTCGCGATCTTACTCAAAAAATCCTTCCAGGCAGAAGGCAGTACAAGGCTGACGAGTCACAGAGGTTTCCGACGAGGCGATACGTCGACTGGGGGAAGTGTTCGATGCGGCTCTCAGCGGGAAGTTTGAGCGCAGCACCGATACAAATAAGCCATATGGGACGAAATAGACTTGAGGCTGATTTAGAAGCTTGGATATCTGATGTATATAGACCTAGAAGATCGCATTAAGATGTGTACAAGAATTCAAGGAACGGATATCCATCCATGGAATGTTCCCGCAGTAAGACAAATCAGGCAAGGCGCGCCGTCGCTAGGTTCAGGAACCGCTTCCGCGGACTCGCACGGACCAGTCGATGTTGATGCCTGGGGACGCTTCGCCTCGCAGCATAAAACCGGTCCCCTCCATCAGGATAGCTCGCCCTGTCGTTTCTCGGACGACGGCCCTGCCAGACAGCCGCGTGCCACGACTTCTTATTCTGGTGCCGGAGCATCGTCGTCCGCACCACGAACCAAGTCGTCGCGTTCGTGTTTGGATGGCTGGCAGGGAAGTTTGGCCGACGACCCGTGTGGAGAGTATACAAAGGTACGTTGTTCCTCCATTTCGCAAAACACAGAGCATGCAAAGGACGGGTCTGACTACCATCTGAAGGTGATTGTAGACAGTCGAGCGATGAATGTTCCGTCCTGGGATCGTTTCCTTGCCGTCGACCAGGCCTTCACGCGTCAATGAGCCGCAGTACTCGCTTTTCGAGTTCCGACAAACACCGCGTTTTCGCCAACTCCAGACTTGAACTGAACCGGAACAGGCGGGCTTATTTGTGCTGGGGCTATCGGCAGTAGCGTGAATCGTTGGCGGCTGGGTAATTGAGTGACCTCTAAGGCAGCTGGAGGTTCTCAATTAGCTCTGCGGCTCTCGCAGAGACAGTGGGAGGCATTGATGTCTGCCAGACCACAACATTGCCTAGACAGTCTGTTAAGAGACTTAGTCTTGCAAGGCGGTGCATCTCCATACCTACGTGTTGTGGACATCGACCATCCTGGAACAGATCGTTCTGGTCTCTCAGCTCTGCTGCCTGCGGAATTGGGTTCAAAGATACAGCAGGTGGTTTTTGGAATAAGGTATTGTGGTTTCCAGAGGGCAACGGCCTGATTACAGGGGGTTGATTTTGCGTCAACTTGACTGCAGTTCACGTATGTGCATGTGAACAAGCCGCCCTCACTGACATCGTTGTTAGTTGTGTTGCTTACAAGCGGTTTCCCTGGAGATAGTTAACAACACCAGACCACGTCCATTGGCATCTCCAATCCTAAACTTCACGCAGCTTTGGATAGCTCACACACACACCAAGACGTTTGGTTACATAAAAGAACACTCCTGCCTGTCGGCAAACTCCCAGGTGTCTGGTCTCTCTCTGTCTTCTCAGGTATCTCTTACTCAGTGTCATAGCAATGGAGCCAACTCAGGAATCCACTCAGCCATACTCTGACCCTCGTCGGCTGGGTTCCCATAACTCGGGTCTCGACGAACAAGATGTGTCGGATATAATCTGTATCCTCCATCCCAATTCCCCGGCCGCCCACGATGCTGTCGCTGCGACGGCACGCATAGCCCCTCAACATATTCTTCAACGGGATGACTTGGAGTACGACAGCTCGGACACAGCTGCGCGGGATATTGCTCTACGGCTATCATCGTCTGTTAAAAACCTCGGGGCAGGGTTCTATTTTGGCCGCCATCCTGCACGCTGTGATGTGCTCCTCACACCCCACCAACACTCGAAACATATTTCGAATATGCATTTTCGAATCTTCGTGAACAGGGACGGCATTCTGATGCTCCAAGACACCTCCACGAATGGCACAGTAGTGGATAGCTGCCGCCTCTGGAAGCCCTTAAACCAGACCAGTCGGATGCTTACCAACGGATCTGTTATCACGGTAGTCTCAGACAATATAGTGAAAACGGAAGTGCGCTTTGTCGTGAGAATACCATCCAGGGATGGCTTCGCCGTACAGTACACGCAAAACCTCCTTGAATACCTGGAGCGAGTCCAAAAGTACGAGGCCAATGCTAAACAGCAGCAGGTCCGTGCCCCTCCTTCGCAGCCGGTGCTCCAGTGGACGGTGGGAAATCCCTATGGAATGCACTGGACCGGAGGTTCCTTGTATAATGTAACTGGGCAGATTGGCAAGGGAGCGTTTGCTACCGTCTACAAACTGGCGACCAAGCAGCATGGTGTTGTATATGCAGCCAAGGAGCTTGACAAGCGGCGGTTTATGAAGAATGGGGTCTTGGATCAAAAGGTGGATAATGAAATGAAGATTATGAGAGATTTGCGGCACGTAAGTAGCACCTTCCTTTTTTTTTTCTTTTTCCTGGCCTCCTCTTTTCTCTCTGGAACCTCGGCTTATTGTTTTCAGCCAAACATTGTTCAATATGTCGACTACCACGAGCACGACCGATGGATCTACATCATTATGGAATACGTTGCTGGCGGTGAACTCTCTACATATCTTCAGACCCATGGGAAGATTGCAGAAGACATGGTCAAGATCATTGCCCGGCAGGTCTTGCACGCATTGGCTTATCTCCATAAACGCAAGATCACCCACCGTGATATCAAGCCCGACAATATCCTCATTGCGTCCCTCGATCCACTCCGAGTCAAGCTCTCCGATTTCGGCCTTTCCAAAGTTGTTCAGGAAGAGACGTTCCTGAAGACTTTCTGCGGAACGCTCCTATACTGTGCTCCAGAGGTCTATCCAGAGTATGAAAACTATCGACAAGGTGTTGTCAGGAAAAGACGTCGTCTTGGTGATCCGTACGTGTTCATCGTTTCTTTTCGGATTGGAATTTAGGATCCAGCTAACAATCTGTCCTACTAGGCCTCCCAAAACATCCCCTTACGATCAATCAGTCGATATGTGGTCCCTTGGAGCGGTACTTTTCCACATCCTTTGTGGCTCACCTCCTTATGTGGGCCGAGGGGATGACAGGGGCGCGCAAATGCTGCGGAACATCATGACGACAGACCCTGATCTGGACCTTCTCCGCAGGGAGGGTGTCTCTGAAGAGGGCATTGATTTTGTGTCGAGGCTTCTCAACCGGGACCCCCAGGCTCGTCCCAAGGAACAGGAATGCTTCCAACACCCATGGATTGCCGATGTTCCTGACATCGATGAATATTCAGATGACGAGACTTTTCCCGCTGAGCAGAAGAAATTAGGCATGATCCAAGAGACAGTAGAAGAAGAGCTAGATGCATCCCAGCTCTCCATCCACGACGATTTCGACAAAGAGCAAGACTCGCAGAAAAACAGCCAGACTGAAAACGAGGTGAAGAGACCGCGTCTGGAGGAGGCTGAAATTCGTTACCCTTCACTTCCACACATCGAGAGCTTCTCAGACACGGACGTTCACCACCAGAAAACTCCCAAGCGTTTATTCGGGGAGGTTACCGCATCTGCCTTGCAGAATGCCGAGGTTCTCGAAGATCTCGACCCGAACGAGTTCTCTGGAATTGATAACGCCAGTTCCAGCAGCTTCCATTCCTCTAGTGGTGAGTCGATGGGTGACGTCCACGGCTTGACCGCCGTATCTTCCTCCCCCATGCCCGAATTTGGAGGCTCAGCGCCCAGCTTGATGGGAGCCGAAGCTCTCGTCGGGCGGCTCAACATGTCGTCTTCGGACAACGGCCCTTCCAACCCGGCGACTCCTGCTGCCAACACTCCAGCCACGCCACGTAGTGTCCGGAGCCGAGAGGCGACGCCTGCTAATCAGGATCTCCCAGAAGCGAATCAGGAGAACTCGAATCCTAACGAGGTGACACCGAAGGCTATCCCGTTACGTCGTCGCATCGAGCTTCCCCTTCCGGATACAGCTAGCGAAAGCTCGAATCAGGATGTACACAGCAATGATGAAGAGGATAATCCCAAGCCAGAACTTCACAAGCGAGTAGCTGCGGAATTGGCTACGACCATCGATGCTCGCACGGGAAAGGAAATATCAGATCTGCCAGCGACCTCGTATGGGGCAACCAGTGACAACTTTCCGGGACCGACTCTGCAGCACAATTCCAAGACCCCATCCACTTCTGCATTTTCGAAACCTCGACCTCTGTTGGGTAAATTGACGACGCTACCCGGCTCTATCTTCGACTGCACGATCCGCCTGGAAGACCGGATGACTTCGTGGGGCCGTGGACTGCAAACGACGGTGCGCTACCCAAAGCCGATGGACGCTCGAATCCCGCTGTACGCACTTGAGATAACGTTCTGGAAGCCGGGCATGGAAGCCCTCATCGCGGCGGGCACAGACTGGATGACGATCCCAGGCGTGACGGCGATCCTCTCGACCAAGACCAGCAAGTGCATCTGGGTGAATGGGGTGGAACTGCGGCGCGGCCCGGACGGCCGCGAGGGCTTCCAGTGGGGCAAGCTGTACACAGGCGACATCATCACCGTGTACCAGCACCCCCAGCACCGGGACCGGTACCTGAAATTCCGCTGCGAATTCTACCACGGCGACAGTGCGCGTCCACGGCCCGAGAATGAAAAGGGGTTTATCGTGCGGACTGCGCTGATGCAGAAGACCGATTCGAGCCAGAACCAGCAGACGCCTGTCAAGCAGAAAGAAAGAGTCGAAAAGGTCGAAAAGGTCGAAAAGTGACCTGCTGCTGATTAGCAAGCCTACAATCTCCACTTATCTCGATTTGTTTTTTTGGTTGGTCTTTCGCTGCATGGCGAATATAAGTCATCCGAATAGGTGATTCTGAACAGCGGTACACCATTACGCAGTGTCCGACTTTTTGGGATATATGACGTCTCTTTACTCTTGCAGATGACTACGACGATGACGGGGTAAATTCTTTTGGGTAGGGAGTTGGTTAATATTTTTGGCATGACTCTACTCCAGCATTGACTGTTTATTTTATTTCCTTTGGATCGGTCTCTTTTGTTTCCTTTTCCTTTTTTACTAGGTACTGTCGGTCTATGCTGTGTACTATACCATGAAAGATGCAAAATCTTGAACAAAAATACCGCTCAGTAAATGAAAAGTGAAGAAAAATTACAGCATGCTATTCAATTTCATTATTTTAATATTCAGTTCTATGTCTGTAAAATCCGGATTTCGTAAAAATCAAATCATGACTCCGTACTCCGGAGTAGATGCTCATTCTCCTCGGCTAGTAAATATCATTTCATCAGGTGCAGCAGTCCCCACACGTTCTCGCAATCGTCAGGGGCTAAATTTCGCGTGCGTAACGATAACAAATAACATAACAAATAAATCTCGGGATTCGACAAATAGGAAGTTTTTTTTAAAAAAAAGTTTAATTTAATTACCTGATTCAATAATCCAATCAACTGGATGCCTTGATAAAATAATTTAATTACTCGTACTCCACATTATTTTACGAACTACTAACCCTAATCAACTGTGGAATGGTGATCGATAGAAAGTTTGTTGTGTTGTATCCTTACGCTTGGAAAAGATTTTTTTTTTCTCTTTGGTCATTCGCGCATTGTCGAGGGTTTTCGTGTCGATAATATTGAGTTCGTGAGAATGGAAAGGATGACTATCTAGATAGGTAGATAGATATGTTGAACGCAGTCATGAGGAAATAAATAAATTTTAGTTTTTGGCATATTGTTATTATCATTATTTTCTCATACCACCAGTCATTTAAGCTGTTAGTTAGATCTAGATCTAGGGCGCTACAAAAACGCCTTTCTTTCTTCTCTTTCTCCGTCTTTTTTTTTTGAAAGTAATGTTGCTGCGAGTGATCGATATGGTGGTTGTTTGTGAGGGGTGTGTTGTCCAATAACAATTAACGGAGGTGTCGGAAAGACTGGCAGAGATAAATTAATGCAATGCAATGAGAAAAGAAGGCTGAGCCCATGAACTAATACAATGACAGTATATATATGCTTTTTGCTGTTTGTCATGGAGCATCAGCTGCATAATAATTACTTTCCTTTGATGCGCAGATTCCATTCTGATGGGACACGTGGTCCGATATGAATTTACGGATTAGAACGATGATTCCTCAACTAGGAAACAGAAAACAGGAAGCATTCATGGCTCGTATACTGTTTGCTATTGTACTGGCCCGACGCTAATATATATTTGCTTGTATTTTGTGTGATCAGAGAAGAACCAGATCTTTTTTGGTCTCATTGCACACGGGGATTTTTTTTCCTTAATTTATGAGATGAAGGATGCGGATAACTTGCCGATTCCTGTCCATAATGTTACCGTAGACGAGAGGTAGGAACCATCTAGGATCTGGCCCCAAACAAGCGCGATTATTAGTGTTGTCGCGAAAGATTGGAATTTCGTCCGTATTGGCTGCCCCAGGCTCAATCTGTTGGAAATTGAGTTCGTGTGCGCCCGTCATGGCGATGGCATGATGACTGCATCAACAACTTCCTGGCTTGATCGACTGTTCGGAGCAACAGTCCATGCCTGTTGTCCGCTCGATTATTACTATTACTGTCCTCAACATGTCGGAATTGCTTGCCTGCCCTCTCCTGGGTTCCTCTCCCGGAACTGCGTTTCCTCCTTCGAGCCTTGGCGCAGGATCTCATCGCCTGCCTTGCTCAGTCCGGCGATGGCGGAGGCCCACGATGGAGACTGAGGCGACTCCTTTTCGACACGGGCCCTTTTGCGTCTGGCTAGGACGCCTAACAGGCTAACAGCTCCAGACTCGCGCTAGGAGCGATTGTTCTCGGTCGGGCCTCGTGCTATTGCCCTTTGCCCGTTTTCGGCATGGGCTGCCTGGTTCAGTCAGGGTCGCGGACCCATCGCTCTGCGCTGCGCTGCTCTGGACCGCCTGTATCTGTCCTCGACGCGGTAATAAACAATATCTTCCTGTGCTGCATCCTGTCGTCGCTGTTCTCAGAGCGCGTCTGCTGCGATCTGGCTTCTTCTTCTTCATCCTTGGACCCCACCAACGGCTGCCAGCCACCGCTGACCTCAGGCGCGCCCTGTCTCACTGCTCGCCTTTCTTTGACCGCACGAGGAATCGCCTGACTCGCTGAACGTGCAATTGACAGTTAATTGTCAAATCACCGTGGCCCGGAAGCAGAGCTGAGCGATAGGCGGCGGCCACGAATCCACTCCGCATTCTTGCTGTTATCATCGCATCGACTCTCACACCATCGGCCTTGCAGCTGCAGCCCGACGCCGAGAACAGCCACACGTCTAATTTGAATTAAATTAATTTCCTCGCCCATTTCCTCACCTTCGCTCCCACCCTGGATCCCTCGTCGTCTCTGAGTCCTGCCTCCTGCTCCTCCTCCGCCGTCTCGGGATCCCATCATCGACGCCGTTCTTCGACTTCAGTCCCGCCACTCCGCCTGCAGCAAGCGTCGCCCGCGCGCGAGGCCAGGGCCCAGGGCAGCTCCTCCGGCCTCTCCGCGGGACCCTTCACCCGCTCTCCGCTGCCCGCCATTCCTGGCACTCCCTCCGATCCGTCTCGCTCGCCCATGTCGCTGTCGCGATCGCCCTCCCCCCTCCCGGGAGGAGGCTGGTCGAGTCCCGGCCTGACGCCGGGCAGCGGCGGCGCCAGTCCTCGCGATCCTCACTTCTACTCTCACACTCCCACCGGCCCCAGCGGCATCTCCTGGGCGGCTGCCAAAGCGAAGAGCGACGAGGTGCGCGGATATCCCTCCTTCTCGACCCGCAACAGTGGTTTCTTCTCGCGCCAAAAGCGCAAGATCTCCGCCAGCCTGCCGCGATTCACCCTCACCCTGTCGCACGACTACCGAGAGAAGGAGAAGCTGGGCCGCGGACGATGGCAGGGCGGTGGTGGCAGTTGGAAGGGCCGTCTGATCTCCTTTGTGAGTGCGATGCTGCGTCGCAAGGGGTTTAGGCTGTTGCTATTGGCGATTGTCTTATTCGTCTGCTACTTGAATTTCTGGGAGCGTATGTTTTCATCTTCCTGCTACTGGAACTCTTCTAATCTAGTTGTTCTCTAGCCATTGTCGAAGCGTATCGGAGATCATCTTTAGGCGGTGGGCGGAAAATTGTGATGATCGTAGAGTCCAATGTCGAAGGAGGCGTCATGGAGTGGAAGGGAGCGCGAGAATGGGCGATTGAGCGAGTCAGCCTGTGGAACAAGAAAAAGTACGCTAAACGCTGGGGACACGAGCTGGAGATTGTCAACATGGTGGCCAAGAAGCGGTATGCCCACGAATGGCGCGAGAGCTGGGAAAAGGTCGATGTCATTCGGGAAGCCATGCGCAAGTATCCGAATGCCGAGTGGTATGTGTGCCTTTCTCTTTTCCTTTGCTGGATCGTCATTGACGTCCGAAACAGGTTCTGGTGGTTGGATTTACATACGTTTATCATGGAGTACTCGTATTCCCTCCACGATCACGTCTTCAAAAACTTGGGCCCCTACACCTACCGCGACATCAATGTCTACAACCCTCTCAACATTTCGCATCCTCTAACCGACTTCTACCTGGATCCTTTGTCCCTCTCCGCCGAGGGGGATGGCGACCCTTCCTCGATCAACCTCATCGTTTCCCAGGACTGCGCCGGATTCAACCTGGGTTCTTTCTTCGTGCGCCGTTCCGTGTGGACGGACCGGCTGTTGGATATCTGGTGGGATCCGGTGCTGTACGAGCAGAAACACATGGAATGGGAGCACAAGGAACAAGACAGTCTCGAATATCTGTACGCGCATCAACCGTGGATCCGACCCGGGGTGGCATTCATCCCGCAACGACGCATCAACTCCTTCCCGCCGGGCGCGTGCGGGGATGGGACCAATCTGGGGATCCATTACCAGGAGAAGGAGCGCGACTTCCTGGTCAACATGGCCGGATGCCAATGGGGACGCGACTGTTGGGGCGAGATGTACAAGTACCGCGAGCTGAGCAACTGGCTGAACCGGACGCGGTGGGAGCGATTCAAGGACGGACTCAGCGCGTTGTTCAAGAAGATATTCGGGAAACGGGAAGAGAAGGGGCAGGAGCAACAGCAAGAGCAAGAACAAGGACAGCAGCAATAACAATAGCCGCAAGGTTTGCGCATGGATGTTTTGATCGAATTTATTTGTCTTTATGTTCAGCGATCATGACTACGCCTTTTCATTACATATGCATTGCATCCATATGATCTTGTTGTGATCTTGGGATATAGTGTCGATGGCGTTGGATTATGCAGATTTGAAGGAGTGTTAGAATGCGTGCTTTATTTTTCTGCGTTTTGGTTCATTTTCTTTTCTTTTCTCAACGGACTAGTTATGTTAATGGTCTGGTCTGGCCTGGTCTGTGTACCTAATGTTTGAGTACTTGATGTATATGTATGTATGTATGTATGTATTATTATTCTTATTATACTTATCCTGCTTGGCATCAGCTCCAGATCTTTTGCTATTTACTGTTCACTGTACTGTATGTACTTCGAGACAAGAGGATTTGACTGCCATCCCTACCTAGGCACGAATGTATGTACACAATACCTTACCGTGATCCCGGTTGATTCACCATAGATTATTGCCATGCTATATCAATAGAAGTAACAGAAGGCAACAACAGCAACAACCACCTACCCAAGCCCCCCTCTTTGGCCATCGATGAGGATATATGTTGAATCCAATCCATGGATGTTCCTCAGAAAAATAAATCCCGGGCAGATGGCTGAATACTCAAGAGTAAAAATAGGCATTAGGCCTCTGAAAGACTCTGACTCTGGACTCTGGAGTCCATTCATTCATTATCCTCAGCTTTATAAAATAAAGGCGTGTAGAATGAAGGTTTTATTTTTGGTTGCTTGCATGACTGACCTCCTGTCAAGGTTAATTTAGTTTAGTTACATAAAAGAAGACTGCCAGAGAAAGGGATCTTTTTGCTTTTTTTTTTGACTAGGTCAGGTTTTCAAGTCAAGTAAGTCGTAATAAAGCCAGTTATTGGCTTATTGCAATTCTTGGCAAGAGTCGGACAAAGCGATAGTTTTTCAGCCAGTTCAGGTCAGGTTTCCGACTCAAGTCTAGGTAAATAAAACCCAGTTGCATTAATGTACTGCTTGGCAAAGAGTCGGACAAAGTGAGAGGTTAACCTGGCCCTCCTGTTAGCTTGGGTCATATAAAGACAGAAAGAAGGTGGAAAAAGGAGGACAAAGGACCGAGTCTTTCACACACTTCTACACTACACTAGGCAATTCTTTTCTTAGGACTTGCTTGAAACCTCTACATGTATTAAGAGGACTGGAATATAACCACTGGGCAGGAGCTTATGCTCATACTAAGCAAGGACTATCAAAGACCAAAGACTCCATCCTGATCTTGCGTATAACCTCAGCAGGTAGATTGCAAGGTATCTAGATTATCTGACCAGCACTAAGCAACACGCACAGTCTCGGCGGACAAAATGGCAAGTAGGTTATCTCATCTAGCCAAGGGCACGCTTTGTCCAAGTATTGTCTGATCTGTGATCTCGGCGGACAGATTGGAAGGTAGATTATCTAGATTATCTGCTCAAAGGCTGAACCAGCACTAAGCAACACGCACAGTCTCGGCGGACAGAATGATGAGTAGGTTATCTGATCTGATCTGATCTGACACGGGCCACGTCGAAATCTAATCTGATGCGTGGTCTCGGCGGGTAGATTGCGAGGTAGGTACCTAGGTAGGTAGATTATCTGACCCTGGGCAGCAGGCTGGCATGCCAGGACTAAGGAGCACGCATAGTCTCGGCTGGTAAAATGAGAGGTAGATTATCTATTTGATCTATGCTAGATAACACGCATACTCTCGGCGGACAAAGTGGTGACCAGGTCAGCTAATCGAATCAAAGACTTTATGTACCAGGACCTGACTTGATCAATGATCTTGGCGGGTAGATTGTAAGGTAGATTATCTATCTGACCTGATCACAGCCTCACCAAAACTAGACAACATGCACACTCTCGGCGGACAAAGTGATGTGTAGGTAAGTTACAGACCTAAGTCATGCATGGCCTTGCCAGAACCTGGCCTGATGTGTAGGCTCGGTGGACTGGATGTCAAGTAGGTTAGCTGATCAAATAAAGAGCTTGCCAGACAGACCCTGTCTGAGTCTGACCTGTTCCGCTAGCAGTTCAGAGGTCAATCTAAATTGGCAGTTAAGCATGAAGTTCATTGTTATAAAGCGCAATGCCGCGATATATATAGCTGACAGTTGCGGGCGGATGTGCGGGTAGTTATTGCCATTGCTAGAACGACTTCCATAGCGAAACATAAACATTCTAGTGTACAACTAGATATTCAGAGACGGACTCGATATTCGATTGGAATTACTGATTGAACAATTCATAGCTAGTAATACTGTGTCGGATGCGGGTGGTGGTTGTACTCCGTACTGTAATGGAAGAACGATTCTGCCGCCTTGAGTCCGTTCCGCCTTCGCTCTCAACCAATCACATCATCCCGAAAACGATTAGCCCCGACCAACTCCAGCGACGATATGGATCGCAGCAGTTAACTGCTTAATTCTCTCCGAAGGAGCAAGCGAGAACGAGCTGAACCTGGGAAATCCAGACAACACAACAGCCACTTTCCAATTACTCAAGTTCCTCCTCATACATATTATCTCGGACACACGCACAGAGAGAGAGAGACGTCTAGCGCAATGCCCACCCCCGAGTCCGCCGCCTTCCTGGCCAAGAAGCCCACCGTTCCGCCGACCTACGACGGCGTCGACTTCGAGGACAACGTCGCCGTCCACAATGCCCGTGACGCGATCATCCGCGAGCAGTGGGTGCGCAGCATGATGTCCCGGCTGGTGGGCGAGGAATTGGGCAAGTGCTACGCCCGCGAGGGGGTCAACCATCTCGAGAAGTGTGGGAAGTTGCGGGGTGAGTGAAGAAGAAGATTTCTCTGCTTGAATTTTTTTTTCGTTTTTGCTTTTCTTATACTCTACTGGATGTGTCATTGCTGATTTCTTTTTTTTGTTTTTGCTGCTGTTACAGAAAAATACTTTGAGCTTCTCAGGGACCGCAAGATTAAGGGTTACCTGTTCGAGGAGAAGAACTACTTTTCCAAGGCCGGCGAGGAGGCCAAGTCGTCATAATAGCGCCAAATTCGTCCTGTGAAGGAAGACAAAGAGAAAAACAGATTTTGCAATAAGCTCTGTGGTCGACGGGAGAAAGGGGTACTTGCTTGCGAAGATGGAATTACGCATACCTACGACCATTCGGCGCGGTGTTCTTTTTTCGACCGGGACTATACGCTCATGTCTACTGCTGAACCGTTTCTCGTCTCGAATTGACCGGTATACGCCTGGTTTGTGTTGATGATCTGTCGATGCCAACTTCAAGCCGACCCGTCTGTCACAAGTGATATTGCGGCTTTGCTGGCTATTACTGTCTAGACGGTGGCCGTTGTACGGGAGAAGGAAAGGTGGAGAATACTTGTATGCACTGTACATATGTATCAATTTTTTTTATTCCGAGTTAGTCAATGGAGTCCATTTTCGGCGCAGGGTAAAGTCTTCCTTTTGTCTCTGCTCGTATACAAACGACACAGATTCAGTCATGAAGTATATATTGGGTATCTCATCATTCAAGCAATGATCATGTGTCATATAATTTTGGTCAAAAATAAGTACTGTCCGTCGTCACAGGCCTAGAGGGAAATCCTGCCGGGGGTTCCCCTGGACTGACCTCCTCATCACTGTCATCCATCCCGGGCAGTTGCTGCTCCCCCTCGTCCGGGGGAGCCCGCATGCGGACGAGTTGATCTTCGTCCAACGACGGCGGCGTGTATGGCGCAGGAGCACTATGGATATCCCGGCCGGAAGGCAGGTTCGAAAGCAGAGATGCAGATGGTGGGATGACGTGTGAGCTAACCTGTCCTCCTAGTTTAGATAATTTCACCAGCGGACGTCCCATGGGGGCTTCTTCTGACTTACTGTATTGTTCATCTTCACCCATTTCGTCTCCAACATGTCGAGCACCCGACATTCTTCCTCCCACCCGGCATCGTCTCCGCGGTCCAACTCACCGTCGTGTCCTGCTCCTCCTCCAGCATTGCCTTTCTCCAACTTGCGCTCCTCTCTGCGTTCTGCCCATTCTCGTTTCAACCGGGATATAGTACCACTTCCCTTTCCTGTAGCTTCTCCCTCAGGCGCCAGCGCCCGCTTGAACCCCAAAGCGCCTTTCCCCGCTCTCAGCCATGCGATCCCCTCTCCAACCTTGCCCGCCATCTCCGCGTCCACGCCAAAGAACCGGCAGGCTTTCGCCCGCGCGACCTTGCCCAGTGTCTGTGCATATTTCACTAGATCTTCGTCGATCTTCCCCGCTGCGCTGCTGCTGTTCCGACCCCCGGCTCCCACTGACCCAAGTCCCGCGGCAGCCTGCTCTGCATACTCAGCCGCGCGAACACACAACCGTGCGAACAGCAGCGCTCGCACTTTGGGAATCTCCGGCGGCCGGACCATCCAGTCCTTGTCGTGCGGGTTGCGAGCCTGGATACAGGCAAACGTGTAGGCATCATCTTTCAGAACCGCCAGCAGCGTTGCCTCGGCGAGAGCCAACGACGAGAGCGCGGACTGTGTCGTGGAGTCGAGATCGGGCACCGTAGCAGAACCCTCCACCACAAGATTGTAAGAGGACGCGAGCAGGGAATGCACAGAACTGGTCTGAAGCAGCTGCTTCGTCGCAGCCTGGACAGCAGCAGTGCGCTGCTCTGCTGTTGGAGTTGAGGCGGCGTACAAGGTGCGCAGCACCCCGACCCTCGCCAGACCCGACAGCACATATCCCAACGTTGACAGCACGAAGGCGATCTCGAAATCGAGGCCTCGGCCCTTCACGCGCCCGCCATCCCGCATCCCCTTCAGCAGGGATGAGCTGGACGTCAAGACGGGCCGCCATTCGACTTCAATCTCTGCACGAAGCGTGATCTCTACCTCCTCGCCTACCCCACCACCGCTCCCGACAGTCTTGCCGCTCAGACCATGGGAAATCGCAAAGAGGTAAGGCAGATACTCGTTGAGAGCATTCAAGACGGTCTGGAGATGGGTCTCCCGTTCCCGTGGTGGTAGTCGCTTGTGCGTCTTCAGCGCCAGCCGGAGGGCATGTCGTGCCGTCGAGGCAGATTGCGGGAGAGAGGGGTGGGTGCTGGACGAGAGGTAGGTCTGGAAGGCGAGATGGGAGGTGGTCGGGAGGGGGAAGGCGTATACCATTCTATAGGGTGATTCAATTCTAATAATATATATAGGTGAGAGTGATCGCAAGGAGGGATTTCCCTGGTGCAGAGACAAAATGCGGGCGAGCTCCAAAATCCGGAGTAAATGCGGTGATGTCACGGGAAACCACCACCACATGCTTCTAGAAGCCAAGAGTTTACTATAGGCAATTCCACACAACTACAAGACAGCCTCTGGCAATGAAATAGTTATAGAGACGTCCATTCGTCTTTTAGAATTCTATGTACAGTACGTGTATCCTGGGTATCTCGTAATCGTTCCTTTCCCCCGCGCCAGACCAAGCCACTCTCGTTAGCGATTCGAATTATCGCATTCTTATGGATTGCAAGTCCAGCCGGTCATTTCGGCTGCACGGGAGAAGAATCATAATGCAAAGTTGGACTCCGAGAGTTTGCTTCAGTATCTGTTGTGGATTTTCAACAGATCTGATAGATGAATAGCTCTCTCTCTGGGTCAGAATGAGTCAGAAGGCGGACAAAGAGCCGTCCTTTAAAGCCTCTCGTGAAAGAATCTTGACAGACCGTCTCAGAGCTCGATATCCAAGTCTGCCGTCTTGTCAAGCGACGCCTTGTAAATCACTTCAAGCAATTCACAAGTGTGGTGATATGCGTTGTTATCTTTATTCCGCATGTTTTTGGTAGGTCGTAAGTAGATCGTATCTCACGCTGCATCATATCTCCATGCCTTCTGCATCGGAAAGACTGCTCGGTACACTGCTTATGGCGGACGACACACTCTCCGTGGAAGGCTCCCGTGCCCTGATCTGCATGCCCCATTCTCGAATGCTGGTAGCTGCACCGCCTTCAATGATGATAGGATGCGGGTCGGCGTCCTTCCCCAGGACGGTCCCCGCATACCGCGACTCCTCGCCTGTCTTGCTGTGTTTCTTCTTCAGCGCCGTCAGGTAGTCCTCCTTCTCGAGAGAATCGGCGTCGATCACGTCGCCTTCACTGGGCACAAATCCCGCGATGCGTCGAATCTCGCGATTCGCCGGTCCCATAAACCAGCTGAGAAACGCCTCGAGGCCTCGTAGATCTTCTTCCCCTCGCCATGTCTCTTCTGTATCCCTCATCTGCGGTCGTAGCGCACCAGCATCTTGCAAGGCGAGGCGGATGTCATCCAGGTTGGGCGCTGGGTCGTCTGGGTGGCTGTTCAAGGCATGAGCGGCTGCAGAGGAGCCGAGCAGCATTAGATATCGAGCAGCGATATCTACGACGGTGTCAAGAACAGACGGTCGCGTGGAATGGAAGCCTGCAGCGCGCAGGATCTGAATGATTGGCGGTCGCAGGAGAGCATGGTGAAGGTTCGGCCCGGACATGATGGGCAAAAGAAGCTATCCGCAGCTCGAGACCAGAGAGATGAATCGGTCCTTGAAGACGGAGCATAAATTAGCGGTGTCCTAATTTCCAGGATAACGAGCGTAGCACCATGGCGTAGGCTGTGCTGGGAAGAATGAGCGGAATGGAGATAAAAGAAAGCTGCCTCGCAGGAGCTCTCCGCACGTCATCCGCGCCGCCAGCACTCGGACCACCTGATTTCCCGCCTCTCTTTCACTCGCCTCTACCGACCACACCCTTCACCTCGATCACTCTACAGCCACTCCAGGAGCTGTATGAGTGTTTCTGGTCATCTTCACCATGTCTGCTCCGCGGCCGTCCCTCAAACTCACCTTTGGCAAGAAGAAGACGCCCAATGAAGAGCCTCCTCAAGAACCTCCGGCGGAACCGCAGACGGCCAACCCCGACCCTCCTCAGCCCAAGCTCACGCTGAAGTTTGGCCCGCAAAAACTTACTGGAGGCGATGATGGCGGCGACAAGGCAAAGAAGAAACGCCCTCCTAAGGAGCAGCCTGAAGCGTCCAAGAAACGACGCGCTGACGCCGCCTCCGGTGACGAGTCGGACGCCGAGCCTGCGGAGGAGAAGCCAGGTCCCAAACGCCTCAAGCTGAACCCATCCAAGCAGCCTGGCGTGCAATCGCTACGGATCAAACACAAGGGCTCGGTGCCTCATCGACCGCTGGGTGTGGGCTATGACTCGGAAGCCTCTGATACGGAGGTAGACCCCTCGATTGAGGAGAACTTTATCCTACGGATGGTGCCAGGCGAGGACTGCGAATACCTCCGGCAGGTGATCAACGAGAGACGTATTGACCGCGCACAGGTGGCTTTCAAGCCCCTGACCCGGGAAGGACGGCGCGCGATCTTCAGGATACGCGATAGACAATACGCCGCCACGCTCGTGGACCTGCCTTGCATCGTCGAGGGAATGAAGAGCTGGGACAAACGCTCCTTTTACAAGGCTGGAGATATCTGCCAGATGCTCCTCGTCCTTGGACCCGTCCAGAATGAGAAAGAAGCCATGGAATATCCGCTTCCAAAGGAGGTGGACGTGCTGGACGAGAAGACCTACCAGTACCCGCATGGCCTGACGCCACCGCTGAAATGGGTGAGAAAACGCCGGTTCCGTGACCGCATTAGCACCCGCACGATTGAACAGGTGGAGAGAGAGGTTGCGGATTTGATTGCTAAGGATGAGGCTGCTCTGAAGCCGCCTAAGTTTGAGCTGGTTGACGGTGGTTCACTGTCACGAGCGGAGGGGATGGTACAGAGCGGAGCGTACGACGAGGAGTACGACGATACGCAGGATGCAGATGGGGAGGTGGAAGAGGACATGCAGGCAGACGCAGCTGGGGAAGACGACCTCTTCGAGGATGACCTCGCTGCGGAGATGGAGGCCGCACTCGCCGCCGGAGCCGACGAAGAGGCTGGAGCCGCAGAGACTGCCTCTACTCCAGCGGCCGACCAGGCCGCTACACCGTCCGCCACCAAGGCAGCGGAAGATACATCAGATGACGAGAGTGACGACACCGAAGGCGGAGGGGCTCCAGAGGCGGAGCTCGACGAGGAGCAGCTGGCACAGCAGCGCGAGCTCCAGGAGAAACGGGAGATGATTGCCGAGATGGAAGAGCTCATCCGGGAAGAGACGGCGCGGTGGGAGAGACAGACCAATTCGATCTTGAAGATGAAGATGGGAAAGCGCGTGCAACAACTGAAGCAAGATCTGGCCCTGAAGAAGGCGGCGATCGGCGAGAGCGAAGCAGATACTTAGCTGGCATAGCGGTCGTCGAGATAGAGATCATCGAGGTGTTATCAGACATGCAGGTTGTTTGATTACATGTTGATTATGATACCCTGGAATACGCAAGTGGGATGAGGCTGTTCTACTAATAAATTGTGATATCGCGCATTGCAGGACAGGAAGCTCCGATAGAATGAAATCATAATTTGGTGAATTAATCAACCTGCTTGCAGTCGTGTATTTACTGTACAGATGAAAAATGTCGATCCGATCGTACCAGACACACTATACTATGCCATGACCTGATCTCCTCCATCACACCACGACATTCCCCGTCCCACTACTCACCGTCCCCTTAACATCCAACTCCTCTTTCTCCTTGTCCTTCCTCTCCCGCAGCTGTTGCCGCTCGCGGACATCCTCAGAGCTCTCCTTCTCCTTCTTTTCCTCCCCGGAATCACCACCATCAAAAGCCGGGCTCTTACCCGCTCTCCGGCCCAAGATATGATCGTGCTCCTCCCTCTTGCGATCCAACTGCGCCGCCGTGTTCCCGTCCTGCTGGCCGACAAACCCGGGACCGTCGGCGCTTCCCACGGGCCCTGCATGCGCCCCGGCCTGCGCGCGCTTGTACTGATTCTTCCCCTCGACGGCGGCGGCGATGTACCCCTCATCCGGCTGCTGTTCGACGCCGTACTCAGTGTCGAGGGCAGCGCCGCTGCGGGCCTCGCGTTCTCGCTGTCGACGACGTTCCTGCTCGAGACGGGCGAGTTGGACGTCCGACGAGGGCCGCGAGTCCGGAGTGCGGCGGATGGCGGGCGGAGGGTCGCCGCGACGGCGCGTGGTGGTGGCCGACGCGGTGAGTTGTTCCACGGGGTTCTGCGAGACGGGGTTCAAGGGTTGCGTGTAGGTGGCTTGCGTGGGGGGTTGGGGGGTGTCGGGGGGTGTTGGCGAGGACATGAAGTGCAGTCGTCGATTGAATGCAGTCGATGCGTTGTAGTCGTTCTGTTTGTGTATAGAAGACTGACTATATGGCAGTAGATCAAGACAGTCAGGCCAGAAATAGATCATCTGCAATCACAAGACCCTGGAGACGGAGAAGTAAAATCGATAATTGCACATAACAATTAATTGCAGCCCCTGTAGTCTCAAAGAGATGCTCTCCGTTCTTCATTCAATTAGTGATACAGTTCAATATACAGCCATAATCCAGTGATATGCCAATGACGTCAAAGTTGATCCATCTGCTTTACCAACTTATCTTCCACGGAAACTAAAATAAAGAGAGATAAATTGTATACACAAGTTATGCACATATTTAGGAACGTGTACAGTACAGATGCACTGTGTTATGTATTTTTATGACGGTGGAGAATTCGAAGACCATACAGTTTCACACACATCCATAAACTGAGATCTAATTCAGTAGTAGTATATTTACTTCTAAATAGAGATAATCTTTAGATACCTAGGTATATCTCCTAGATAGGTATCGATAGATAGTCCTGGTCAGGAAGGTCAGATTGTGTGTGGTTGGACATTCTTCTCTAGCAGAGAAACTATTAGGTAGGTTTCCGCAGCATGTGAAAGTCCCCCTCTTCCTACTCTTTAACTACTATCAACAAAGACAAAAGAGTTAAATCTAGCTCCACTGGATTGACCAAATTAATTGATCAATGGCATCTGACGATCAGATCAGTAATCAGAAAAATAATTAATTAATATCAGCCAGGACGGACTAAAATTATCGATAGTTAGCTCCTGCTCGGCATTTCGGTTCGTTGATTTGATAGACCTCGGAAGCGTACATAAATATTTAATTCTAGGCTGGAATATTCCTGCCCAGATAATGTACACAACTACAGCAATGGAATAAAGAATAAAAATCAAGAATTGGGAAAAGACAACAGATTGTGACAGCTGTCCAAGAGGAGAGATATTTACTACAATCAAGAAAATTGACAAAGAATTAAAAACCATGACGGCACTCTTCTCCATCCCCATCTCCACAGGCGGGACCTTCGTCTGCAGCACAGTTAATACCCCAGAAGAAGAAGAAACAGGCAAGAAGAAAGGAGATAATAGTTCAAATGAAAATAAGATCTACCTGCTCACATTCACCTCGCCGCCCGACAACCGGCTCACTCCCGCCTTCATCGACGCCTTCATCCTCGCGCTGGATATCATCGAGCATCGGTTCCCGAAAGGCGTCGTCATCACGACGAGCGGCATCGGCAAGTTCTTCAGCAATGGCTTGGATCTGGAGGTGGTGACGAGCACAGACTGGTTCTGGGAGAGGTATCTGTGGAAGCTGTTTCGGAGGTTGCTGACGTGAGTTGAGTTTTTCCTCTGCATTTTTTTATTAAGCCGTAGAAAGGCACTGATTATGTGTGCTGACGATGGCAAAGATATCCCCTCCCAACTGTCGCTCTCGTCAACGGCCACGCCTTCGCCGGCGGCCTCATGCTGGCCATGTACCATGACTACCGCGTCCAGAACCCCTCTCGGGGATTCCTCTGCCTGAACGAGATCCAACTCGGTGTGCCGCTGCAGCCGCCCATGACGAGCATCTTCCGCGAGAAGGTGCCGTCGTCGATCACGCTGCGTTCGTTGATTCTCGAGGGCAAGCGGTTCACCGGTCCGCAGGCGCTGAGCGCCGGGTTGGTAGACGCGCTGGGCGGGCTCGACGAGGCTGTCAAGCTCGTTCAGGACCGCAAGCTGCATGCGCTGGGCCAGTCGCCAGCGTACACGGCCCTGAAGGAAGGCTTGTACCGGCAGACTCTGGCCGTGTTGGACGACGAGGCCGGCAACCAGGCCTGGCGAGACTGGATGGAAAAGATCAAGGAGGCCAACTCCGAGGAGGCACTGAGCAGGGTGAAGCGGTGGGAAGCGCAGGGCAAGGATGGAGGGGTCAAACTGTAGTTTGTGGCTAGAAGTTAGTGAGGCTATTTCTCTGTATTCACGTTCCAGAAGTAGATTCATGTTCGCCCCAGAAAGGCACTTGTGAAGTCAAGAAGTAGGCATATAACTAAGTGGCAAGAGCAACCAAGACGTGACATACCCAACAGCACATGGGATGAATGCTCTGCCGTCACTTTCACTATGCATCTTTGATGGCAAAATTTGTGAGCCTGTCTCCGTGAAGCATACGGCATACACCGGGCACATCTATGTCAGCTTACTGCTTTCCATATGGGTAGCCCCTCTCCTCTGAGTCAGTTCCATCCCATCCGTCACTCTTCTTGCCTCCTGTACGAAGAATATCGTCCTTGGTCTCGGCTCATGCCACGAATCCAGCCAGGTCAGGTGAATCAGAAGATCAGCACGGTACATAGCAGCATCGTTGCCTACGACAACCTAACCCTATCTATACCAGGACTGACATGGGACGAAAGCTCCGTGTCTTCTTTTTTTTCTTTCATCTCTTCTCTTCTCTCCGTCACAGCACAAGCAATTTCGTCACTGTTGCTGTCTCTGTTCTTTCTTCTTCACTAAAAAGCCTCTGACAGAGTGGTTGATTTCCGTCATCTCAAACAGTCCGTGAAGACATTATTTGAACGTGTCCATCATCTCATGTGCTAAGATTATAAAACCTTCCTCGTTTCCTCTTCTTCTTCTTTTTTTTTTGTTTCATATCTCCCGTCTCAGAGCCCGTCTCAGTCGCTGAAAAATGACGCTTCAATCTCCATCCCAAGATCCTCCGTTTGAAAGTTCAAGGTAAATACATACAGGAATACACAGCACGCTGGTCGATCAAGATATCTTGACAGAAACACTCGCTCAGAAGAAAGGGCGGAAGAGAAAGAGGGCCAGAATGCCCCTAATACTCATACCAAGCTCTGTTCCTTGAGGTCATACAGCTAACTTTCGCAGGCCGTCGACACCCAATCAAGATGGCGCGGAGCATTTCGATCCCGAGCAGATGAACAGCCCCCAGCGCGAATTCCTAGAACTGTTGATCGACTGCGGCCTCGAGACGCCAGGAAACCTCGGCGAGATCTTCAGCATGAATGAATTCAATCCTGACAACGAATGGAATCCCGAAGACAACGCGGATCCTGACAGCGAGATCAATCCTGACAGCGGGAATTTCGAAGTCGGCAATCCTGAAGATGGCTATCCTGCTGACGGTTATCATGGATACAACCCCTATTCAGACGACGCTTGTCACGTCAAGCAGAACGTCGAACAGAACGTCGAGCAGAATTCAATTGTCTTCATTCCGTTCAGGCTCGCGGATATCCAGTCGCTCATCGAGGCAAAGACCACGATCGGAGAATCGCAAGCTTTCTATCCGGGAGAGCAGTTTTGTCTTCCCCCGCAAGAATATGATTTCGAGTCGGATCTGCCCGTCCTCCCACCGTTTCCATTTGCTCCGTATCCTCCTAAGATTATGGGACCGATGGAGCAACAGGAACCTCAATCGGTGTCGCACGATTCGAGTATTCCGGTAAGAAAAAAAAAAGATGGCGATCAAGTAAAATAAAAAAAATTACATGCTAATGAAATAGCAGCAGGAAAATCACGAATCAACCTCGGAAGAATACAATGCATCACTCCACCACCTTCCGCAGGTGCCATCAAAGAGGACTTCGGGATGGTCAAGCTAGTCTTCCACCGCGAAGAACGCCTTAAATGAAAAATAATTGGACAAGGAAGATTCGAACCCGAACAAGAAGTATGATCTACCCCCCTGCAGTGTGAAGACGCCAGTATCTTACAACCTGTCTCACAGAAACGGAAGCGTTGTGGTCGAGGAAACGATTCGAGGTTGGAGGAGGCTCATTTTAAGCTTCTGGAGGCTGTGTCCTTAACAATAGGACGCTGTCGATAAGTCACGATGGGTGATATTGGTTCTGAAAATTGTGTTCTCATGTCTTCTATGGTCGAAATGTGGAGCGACGCAGCATTCAAGTCTGTGCGAAGGATATGCCTTTTCTGTTGTTGATGTTCATAAAACAGGCACACTTGTCCAATAAGGACTACTGACTGAGAAGTAGTGATGCTCAGTGAAATCAATATGACGTGCTGAAAGCATATTCTTATGTCTTCTTGTCCTTTTTCGTTCCTCGTCCTTTGGCAGAGCTGTCCAGTTTGTCTGTTAGCGGTCTGTAAGGCGCCGCCAGCACATGCTCTGGTGCTCTCTGAGCCGTATCATCCCGTCGCGGTTCTCCAGGAGACGGCCGTCGCAGCTGCTCCTCGTGCATCTTGTCCAGCGGCTCTCCTACAATCTGGTACTTGGCCCAGTTGATCGGGGGCATGCGCACGATATTCTGAGGCTTGGGGATTTTGTCGAAAGCTGGGGCCCCCTCCGCCCTCTGAGAGCGCACATTATTCGAAGACGCGTCATCGCCATCGTTATCTTGGCCCGGAGGAAGAAGATCTACCAGATCGCTTGGCTCGTCCGAGGTGAGACGGCCTGCGACCAGCTCCTGTGCGAACTTCTCTGGATCTGCGGCCGCGGCTTTCTTCAGCCTGTCCAGCGTCCTGATATCCTGAAGGCTCTTCTGTTTCTGAAGCTGGAGAATAGATATGGCAGAGCGCAGGGCAATCACGTCCGGATTCTCACTCTCTGATATCGGGACCGGAGCGGGCTCCGGCGCGAAAGTAACAGGCTGCTGCTGGGGAGCGCTCCCAGGAAAAGAGCCGGACATGCCGCCTTGGGTCGTGTGGACTGTTGTCGGAGAGATTTCAGGGCCCGGAGGGACAATCGATGCTTCACCGGGCACCGTCGCCAGATGGGCAAACACTGGCGTCACCGGGGAGTACGGCGGGCGTGGCGGGGTGCCTGGCCGCTCGTTGTTTTGGGGCTCTTCCTGAGATTGTTCCATCGCATTCCCGGCGTATGACGCTTGATATCATATGGATGAGAAGGAGAAAGCACTCTAAACGCAGTGCAGAGAGGCGATATGTAGTTGATGTTGAGGCGATCCAGCGGCAAACAAGACAACCCCCGCAAAACGGGCGCCAAGCGCAGCGACAAGATGATCCGGATGATTAAGATGATGCCATTGTCTTACTCAGCATTCGTCCCCCAGTCAAAGCACTTCACGGCAGAGATTGTCTATATCTATACCGGTCCGTTATGCTTGCTTTGGCCTTATCAAATCGATAAGCGTGCTGTCTGCTGATTCTGCTGCTGACATCATCTGGTTCTGCAGTTGTTATTAGTAATCTCGCCACCCCACCGCAGAGGGCACAGCCACAGGGAGCACCACAGCAAGACTGGCCAATGACGTGTCTGCAAGAACTTGACATATTAACGGCTGGCCAGGCCTTTAGCATGCGCAAACATGCTCTCGTTAGTTCTTGGCAGAGTCTCCTAAATGAAAAATAGCATTCTATGCCAAAGAGATTGAATTTGGGCAGTTTGCAGTGCGGTTCATTGCACATAGATTTTTGGACCCTTCCCTTGTACAGTACATACCAAAGCGGACATGATGCAGTAGATCTGATGGATTTATGCTTTAAAATCTGGACTGCACACTCTGCTTAGATTCGAGTAAAAAAGACAGCCTAGTTATCGACTGGCAAATGAATGTTGATTGCAGGTGTCGTTAGGGCTGGCCCCGAAACCTCCGCGGCAGATTTTCTCACCGCCCAAACTCCGCAAAAAAAAAAGACAACCACCATACCTTCATTCTGCTCTGCCTCCAGGGCGCCAGTCAACGGGCAAAATGAAGCGCAAGACCGAAGACCGCAACCACGCTAATGGCCTCCCAGGGGCCAAGAAGCGGGCACTCACAAATGACATGGTTATTGCGCGTTTCCGCGAAGGATTGTTCGAGCCTGCAGAGCTCGACAAGTACAAGAAGAGCTACGCGAACTCGGGGCCGTAGGTTCCATTTCGGGACTCTTGATTGCAGGGTTTGGACCAATTGTGCCTGCTAACAACTGATTTTTTTCGTCGTGCAGATACAAACACGGTGTCATCTGCCCGCTGATCGAGCCCAATCTGCTCCGCTCCGTCCGCAATGAAATTCAAGAGCACCTGTCATTCACTGAGAAAGAGACGGATATCTACAAAATCTTCCAGTCGGGCGATCTCGCGAATCTGGATGGCTTGGATGATGCCTCCCTGGCGCGCCTTCCGTCTCTTCTACAATTGCGCGACGCGCTCTACTCCGAGAAATTTCGCGAGTATCTCGCCTCGGTGACCGGGTCCGGCAAACTCAGCGGTCGCAAAACGGACATGGCGATCAATATCTACACGGAAGGGTGCCATCTTCTCTGCCATGACGATGTCATCGGCAGCAGGCGTCTCAGTTACATCCTGTATCTGACGGATCCAGACAATCCCTGGCGCCCAGAATGGGGTGGAGCGTTGCGACTGTACCCGACGAAGACCGTCAAGGACGAGAAAGGGGAGGATATCAAGATCCCCAGCCCTGACCATAGCCTCTCGATCCCCCCAGCCTTCAACCAGCTCAGTTTCTTCACCGTCCAGCCAGGCGAGAGCTTCCACGACGTCGAGGAGGTCTACCACCCCGCGGAAAATGAGAAAGGAAAGGAGAAGCGAGTGCGCATGGCCATCAGTGGATGGTATCACATCCCACAGGAAGGGGAAGACGGATATGAGGAGGGTCTGGAGGAGAAGCTGGCGGAGCGGAGCAGTCTTTCACAGCTTCAGGGTCGAGGCGACATCTATGACCAGCCCCAGCCTCAGCCGGTGGACTGGGAGTCGGAGGATGCTGCCGCGGACAAGGGCAAGGGCAAAGGCAAGGAGGCTGTCAGGTCGGATGACAGCGAGTTTTCGGAGTCGGATCTCAACTTTCTCCTCAAATTCATCTCCCCGTCGTACCTGACGCCCGACATTGCTGAGGAGCTCTCGGAAACGTTCGCCAATGACTCCTCGCTCAGCCTGGAGCGTGTGCTATCAGACAAGTTCGCAGCTCGGGTGCGGGAGTACATCGAGGAGCAGGAAAAGGCCGCCTTGCCCCAGTCGTCGGACGAGATTGAATCGAGCACGGACTGGAAGGTTGCTCGCCCGCCGCACAAACACCGCTATCTCTTCCAGCAGCCGCGGAAAGGGGCGGCGGCGTCGTCGCCCATTCAGGAGTTGTTGAACGACCTTCTCCCGTCGCAGGCGTTCCGAAAGTGGCTGTCCCAGATTACGGGCATGAATCGGCTTACTAGTTACAATCTGCTGGCTCGTCGATTCCGTCGTGGACAGGATTACACACTTGCCAGCGGCTACGATGGAGAGGAGCCGCGCCTGGAATTCACGATCGGTCTTACGCCTACACCTGGATGGGAGAAGGAGGATGACAACGAGGAAGAAGATGAGGAGAATGGCGAGGGAGAAAGCAAGCCGGCAGAGGAAGAGGAGGAGAAGACGACCGACGAGCCATCCGTGGGCGGATACGAAGTCTACATGGCAGGCGATGACGACGAGGAGGAGGAAGACGAAGAAGAAAACGAAGACGGGGTCAAGACCAAGAAACCCAAGTCCGACCCAGCCATCTACAAAGCAGCTGGCGACGACGATGGGATCCTGTTCAGCATGGCCGCGGGCTGGAACCGGATGAGCATTGTCCTGCGCGACAGCGGCACGCTCAAGTTTGTGAAATACGTCAGTGCGGCGGCAAATGGGGACCGATGGGACATTACGGGTGAAGTGGGTGTTGTTTATGATGAGGAGGAGGGGGAGGAGGATGACGATGAGGAGGAGGAGAGTTAGCTTATATCACCTTGCCCAGGGGATCGAATTTGACAGTGCTGTGCCTGCTGTACGGAGTAGATACTGTTCTTTTTTTTTTGGCATGAAATGAGGTACATTTAAATCTTCACGAGTTCGTAAATCCACAATTTAACCAAAAGAAAAAAAAAGCCCTATCCAAATTCTCCATACGTACAGTACATTCAATGCATTGCACTATGGTTAACCACACAACACACAGACAGACAGATAGGCAAACAGACAACAAGTAAGTCAGCAGGCAAACAATTCCCTAGGTAGCTAACCTCCAGAATCCAGTCACTAATAAATAACTCCACTAATAACTCTACTAATACTCCGATACTCCGTCCATGTACTGTAGATGTATGTACTACTGTATGTACCTGCAGTTCAAGTTAAATTAATTAAATCAATTAAATTAAGATTAATAATTAATCAACTAAATCAGTAAGCTCCAGCAGATTAACTTAACAAATAACAATATATATGAATTAGTTATCCCAGATTATATTCCTTCTAATTAATTAATCTAATCTAACACTCCTACCTAACGGAGTAATAAATAGGTCATCGGCAATAACAGTAGACAAAAACTGCCGATAACAACAACGACGACAACGACGATCAATCAATCAAAACGATCGCATGGTCGAATAAGCAAACTTCCCCTTTTGGGAATCCTCTTTAGAGTGCCCTGGTGGATAAACATTGATGCCCACTCGTCTGCCACTCTGCCCACCTGCCTAGCTGTCAGGCGATTGCTCGCCCGCTCGCTCGCGTGGTTGCTTGCCATGTGGCCATGTGGTCAGGTTAGGTAGGTAAGCATGTATGTGCATAAGCTAGCAGCTAGCAGCTAGTTAGTGAACTGTTAGCTCCTAGTAGTTCGTTACTAGTCAGTTAGTTACCTAGGTATGTACAGTTCATGTACTCCGTACATGTATGTAGGTTATTAGTTAGTTGGGTGGATATGTATGTAGTTTCTAGTTTCCCTGGGTATTAATTATCACCTGCATGTTGTTATTTTTTGTTCTCTCTCTGTCTAAGTATATAGGATGGCCTTATATATGTGTTTTTTTGTCTTTTTTTTTCCCATTATGCTATGCCATGCTATGCTATCTCTCTGTCCTTCCCCCTGGTTATTTGTTTGTTGGTTGGCTGTTAATTTTTTCTTTTACCGAGGAAAAAAGAAGACCTAGCCTAGATAACTACTCCTTACCTACCGAGTTGTTTGCTGAGCATGGATATCCTTGCCAGGATAATAATAAATAATAATAATAATAATGATAATCCCGGTAAGGAGAATGGACTAAGTACGGAATACTCCGTACTCCTGACTACTACTTATTTATTTACTACATACCTAACTAGGTACCCGTGCTCCCGCCCCAACATCGTCCCGTGTTGGTGCGTTGCACCGTAACGTCCATTTTGACCACAACGTCCAATTTTGAATATTTCATCAATTTTCTCAACATCTAGACTAGTATCTAAATACATTAAATAGCGCATTAATATCTCCTGGATCCTGGCTATCTCCCTGAGTATTTTCAACAGTATCCGACCGTTGTGTAGTGGTGGGAATTGGCTTTGAAGGTTGGCGTTTCCGGACACGGGAAATAATCTTCTTTCGTTCAGCTTCAGCACGTTCAGCAACCTGACGATTTGCATCTTTAACTGTCAATGGCCCTATAGTAGGGATTCTTCTGCGAGATCTCTGAGAGCTTGGAGCGCGTGCACGCTCTAGATGTTGAGAGATATCGCTTTGAAGTTGGGCTGTCAATTCAGTCTGTTTGTATAGCACTT